TTTGTTTGGTGTCAAGGAGTTCTGAGTAATTTCATCTCTTATATTATTTCCCAATAAAATACCAGCTGAAAGAGTAATTATTATGACAGAAAAAAACAGTCCCAGCATACAGTGTAAGCTAAACTCCAGAAATTAGATAACAGCTTGCCTTCATTAAAAATCTGTAATTAACTACTAATATTAACATCAGCTCATGAGAGAAGGAAAAATAAAATCAACCGTCCAACCAACAAAAAATAAACAAACAAACAAACAAAAACCCCTACCACAACTATTTTAGATTATCTCAAAATAGTTCTGAGATAATCTAAAATTCCCCAGGGAATATCAGCTGTCACCAAGGAAAAGTGGCACAGACTGGCAAACTACACTCTTCTAAACTATTTTACTTCCAAAACCAGGCAGTTCCATTCAAATTGCCTACTGGAAATGGTCTTCACCATGTGTAAACTCCTGAACTTGGGGAGGGACAGGTTGTGAGAGAGCTAGTTGTCCAGGAAAAAACATTTCAAAACATAGACAGAACCTTATGTAGTCAAACTGGTCAGCACAGGTGTAGCCAGTGTGTCACTGTCTGAATCCGCAGGGTGTTGATGCCAGGGTATTCAGATTTTTGACAGCTACAGAAGAGGTTGAAAGCCAGATTTCTGACTTTTGGTTCACGTTCTACATGCAAATAGGAAAACCTATTAACAGCACAAAAATCAAATACCCATAAAAGAATGCTGGCCAGAAGGAAATAAACAAGACCTCTTAAAGTATGTAGTAGTCTGGCCACTAGGGAGATTGATTTGCCCATGGTGAAGTCCCCTTTTCTACATAGTTCAGTAATCTGTTTAAAATCTGTTTCTTTAAAATTCCAAATTTTAAAGAAAAAGAATAATTCCATGACTTTTTACAGCCTAATCAGTCACTTCTCTTTTAAACTACAATCATGTATTCTTTATAAAATTTTAAACTTTACAGCAAAGGTTTAATGTCTACACAAACAAGTTCTCAACTGCTCTGCTCTCAATCTTGAGTCAGAAATTAAGCAATGGGAGCAGGACCAGATCACTGCTCTGATTTGATTCATGCTCTGGACAGGGTCTGTTTAAATGTATCTCAGACTGCCTGTAGCTCAATTCAATCAGGTCCCCTCATGTAATTAGTTTCCTACCTATCAACATAAGACCAGATTGCTGTGAAGGGTAAGAGGATTTGAAGATGGGGGCTCTGCAGGTGCACCATCACTGCAGAAGATAGAAAACCAGAACAGCTTTCAGTCAAAGAATGCAGGCAGGTAACTAAATCCACACTGACTGCAGATGAAGAACTGAGATCAAATATTACCTGAGCAGCACACAGGAATAAATTTCTGGGACACTGTGAAAGACAACAGATGAGACAAGGGAGATCAGACCTTGATTAGGGTCTGCAGTGCCATGCAAGAGGTGGTGTGGACTGCACAGTTATGTGAAGTTTTGAACAAACGCAGAAGCCCCTTGTGGCTGATTGAGGCTGATGGAGCCTTTTCAGGCCATCATCACGTTTTTACAACAACGGAAAAGTTAAAATCCAGCAATCCTAAGTGAACGCTCTGGAAACAGGGATGTGTTGCTCACTTGCACCATCATTTGTACCTGGACTCTGCAATGAGTTCTTTGTGTGTCTGTTCTCATATAGCCTACAAATACAAGACCATAATGAATAGAATAGAAATAGAATAGAATAGAATAGAATAGAATAGAATAGAAGAATAGCAATTTCAGTTGAAAGGGACCTACACTGATCATTTAGCCCAACTGCCTGACTAGTTTGGGGCTGATCAAAATTTAAAGTATGTTATTAAGGGCATTGCCCAAATGCCCCTTAAACACTGACAGGCCTGGGGTATCGTTCTAAATATCTAAAAGGCGGGTGTCAATAGGATGAGGCCAGGCTCTTTTCAATGGTGCTCAGTGACAGGACAAGTGGCAACAAGCACAAACTGGAACACAGAAAGTTCCATCTGAAGATGAGGAAAAACTTATTTACTTTAAGTGACACAATTCTGGAGCAGGCTGCCCAGAGAGGCTGTGGAGTCTCCTTCTCTGGAGATATAAAACCCATCTGGATGCAGTCCAGTGCAACCTGCTCTAGATGCACCTGCTTTGGAAAAAGGGGGGTTGGACTAGATGATTTCCAGAGGTCCCTTTCAAGCCATACAATTATGTGATTCTGTGGTTCTGCGATTCTGTGATCAATCACCTCTCCAGGAAGCCTGTTGCAGTGTTTGATCACCTTCTCAGTAAAGAAATGCTTCCTAATGTCCAACCTAATCCTCCCCTGACACAGCTTTGAACCATTGCCACACATCCTATCACTGGATACCAGGGAGAAGAGATCATCACCTCCCTCTCCACTTCCCCTAGTCAGGAAGCTGTAGAGAGCATTGAGGTGGCCCCTCAGCCTCCTTTTCTGAAAACTAGACAAGCCCAAAGTCTTTAGCCACTCCTTATGGGACATTCCTTCCAGCACTACCACCAGCTTTGTTGCCTTCCTTTGGATGTATTCAAAGACCTTCCCATCCTTCTTAAATTGTGGGGCCCAGAACTGCACACAATACTGAAGACGAGGCCACAGCAATGCTGAATAGAGCAGGACAATCACCTCTTTTGAGTAGCTGGTTACGCTGTGTTTGATATACCCCAGGATGAGGTTTGCCTTGGCTGCCAGGACACACTGCTGACTCCTGTTGAGCCTGCTGCCAACCAGCACCCCCAGATCCCTTTCTTCAGGACTGCTCTCCAGCCACTCATCTCCCAATCTATGCTGGTGCCCAGTGTTTCTCCATCTGATATATGGACTCGTTAAATTCCACGTCATTGATGATTGTCCAATGCTACTATTTGTCCAATGTTACATACTAGTATTTATTAGCAATTGAATACTACTGTATTTTAAAACTAAATTGGTTTAATAGAGTGCATATATATATATATGTCAAGAGATTACATAAATATATCCCATTATACCATTTTATTAAACTTAAGGTCCTCTTATTGTGTGCATTTTTAAATGAAAAGCTTTTTGCTCAATTATTCCTCTGGATCCAATTAGCTTTTTATTTCAAGATAAGGAAATCAGACATAAAATGTGAAATAATTATCTTAGTCTGAACAAAAGAAAAAGGCAGGCTGGGGTAATGATTATGTGGGGAGTTGTATGATAATTCCTTTGACAATTATGAGTGTTAGTTTAGATATTTTTGTAGCATATCTATAAAAATTCTTCAAAACACATTAAAAATTGCAATGCTTTCACTTCTCTTAAACTCTTCTTACAACATTTAAGGCACTGCTTCCATGTAGATGAGTTATTTTCATGTCCCATCTTCCAGAAACAACTGAATGTTTGTTTAATTTCAATATTTCAAGCCCTCTTGCTTGCAAACCAATAAAGAGATTTATAAATGAAATCTATAAACTCAGACTATCTGAACACTATCCCTTCGCAAAGCTTCTTTTTATTATTTAAGATTAACTTTAAAAATCTCTTCCTTTTAGATACCTGAAATATGTTAGCTTTCTGATGTTGTGAATGGATCTTGTTGTAGGCAAGCAACTGCACTGGGATTTATATGCATGCTTTTCTCCAAGGTTTCAGAATATGCAGAAAAGAAAAATAAAGATGAATTGCTTATTTTCAGTTCCTCACATTTTTATATTACTAGTTTCTCTCCATTTAAAAACTCTCTCTTCTTTTCTTTTCTTCCCCCCCCCACCAAAACTGAATTGCTGTCTCATTGCAAAAGTATTGAATGCAGTAAGCAATTTACCCTTTTCTCCTCTAGAGAGAGTCTGTCAATGTCATGACTGAGGCATTTGCGGCAATGGTAGTTAGCTTCAGAGTTGTGAAATAGAGCTGTTTATTCTTTACCTGCTCTGTTGTGTGATCTTGCTGTGCTGCTATTGACTTCAGTGACCATAGAACTGGGACTCTTTACAGAGAAACAGCAGCCTTGTTTGCAAACCAACAGTAGCAACATGCTATTCCTATCCTAAGCATCCTATTTAAATATTAAAGAATGCTAGCTCTAATAGTATTTCTTGTGCAAAAAATTGTTGTCACACAGGCAGAACTGGAAAAATGGTTTTTTTTGTCATTACAATGGATACAGCTCAATTATTTTAGTTGTGAGCTTCCCATGGTGATGTGCTGGAGCATCTCAATACTGATTTGGAGGAGGTAGTCCTGGATCTAAGACACTATAAAGGTGTTTGTGGCTATGAATGATACATGTTGTCTTTTATCAAAAGAGGAAGATACTATTTTAACACAGTAAAATTCCCTTTATAACCAATCTACATATTGATTGAAAACAGTTCTGGGATAAAATCAGTTTTTTGAGACTTAACAAATATGCTCACGTATTTACTTTTGAAGAGATGCAATGGTCTTTGTCATCACACAGAATGGAAGAAACTGATTTTGAAATCACACCATTATCATAACAGAACAAACGGTGTTCTGGCCAAAACTACTGAAAATAATTAATCTTTGGACATAGAATATCTCTGGAAAATTTTAGTCAATAAATAAGTATTTTTTAAATATCAAAAATTATTCCAAATTTACAATAGAATATAAAAGTATATACAGGTTTGATGACAATAGTTTTTGTAAAGTTGTGGAATGCTTTTTTATAATTCCAAGCTAAAAGACTCAATGAGTCCAGACACTTCACTCAGACATCTTTTCTTTCTCTATCTTTTTTTTTCTGTCTCTTGGGAATAATAAAATGTGCCACCGAACCATGCATGCAATTTGGTGCTTAATGATAATCTAGCTTTTACAGTAATTTTATCACTACCTATACTTTGCTACCTAGAAAGTTTTCTCTTCATTTTACAGACTAAGTGGTTCTTTACAACAAATGATATTGTATTTTTACATTCTACTCTTTCCTAAAAGATATGAAAAAAACATGGCATATACTTTCATGAGTCGTCTTTGTTTTGGTTTTTTTCGTTTAACAGATACGTTAGGTCAAGAACGAAGCATGACATTGACATGAGAATAGGGATACATTCGGGATCGGTTCTGTGTGGAGTGCTGGGCCTGCGAAAGTGGCAGTTTGATGTCTGGTCATGGGACGTGGATATTGCAAACAAACTCGAGTCAGGTGGAATTCCCGGGTAAGGCAACGTGTATGTCCCACAGTCAGAAAATATTGCCAACAGAGTACACTGTAAACCTTGCCAACAGATTAACTGTCTTACATTATCTCATCGACTATGACTTTTTATTTTTATTATTATTTTGTGGTTGGCAAGGATATGTGAGGTTACAGTCAAAAAAAGGTAGAAATTCTCAGCTTGCAAAGGCATAGGAAAAGACAAAACTATTTCTTTTTCTTTGCCAGCTGTGGTTTCCTGAAAAAGGTTAGTGGTTGCATTCAGCCCATACAATGCTCAGAAGTAACCCAAATTTCCCAGTTAGGTATTGACCATTCCTGAGTTTTTCCAGGCTTCATTCTCTTGTCCTTTCCATCCAAATGCTGTTGTGAGACGCAAAGCTGTAATTTATTTTCTTTCATAATGAACAAAGTGTAGGAAGAATTATGTATTCATCGGTCATTATGCTAATAACAAGCCAGCTCTCTAGGAAGTCTTTTAAATAATTTCATGCTTTCGTAGATGTTTTGAGACATTTATGTCATCTTGTCTATATGTGAAAATATAAGGTTTTCCATTGAGCCGCCTAGTTTTTCTTTGTCTGAGGTGGCTGTTTCACCTGGAAGATATATTATTTCTGCCTGATATGGTCTATATCTCATGGTAGTTTGCAAGTTGCAAATTCTAAATTTGAAGCTACAGTAGTGGTTGCAGGAAATCTCTGTTCACTTTCAGTTCCATCTTACATGATGAAAAATGTAGAAAAAGATCCCCTACAACAATTCAATTTTCAACCATGGAACATAGAAACAATAGCAGCGGACATCTTTATGCTGAAAAAGTGTAAGTGATGCTGTCATAGTGAGTGAGAGAGGTTTTAAGTCATCAAATCTGAATCAAGTGCTGTACTCCCTGCACACACAGAGCTGTCGTGTTCCCAGGAAGTTAGAAGGATATTTACTTTATATTATGTTTGTAAATGCAGGCCCCGTCCACTGTTCCCCATAGTAGACCTTTATACTAATATATATTATTAGAAATAGCAGAAAATGAAACATTGTATGCTCTGAAAATGACTTCTATACTCTGCATATGTCACCAGTGTATAAAACTGTAGGAAAAAAATTTCTTTTCCTGCTGCTTATCCTGCGTGATCGCTCCAGATGACTGAGAAAGGTCACTTGCTGCTTTATTAACATGAACAAATCAATCATCTAAATTTCACCATCCGCACCTGCAAAAAGTCTAGTTTATTGCAGTTAATGTGTGCAAGTAGTACAGCTATTAATGAATAACCCAGAGAACACACCTTGCTGTGGCTGATAAAATGCCTGGCTAGGCTGCAGTTTATTAAATGGAGCAGAGTGATTTCCACTCCTGTGTATCAGTTTGCCAACAGAACAAAACCTGGATGTGAAAGAAATTCACTAAGTAATTCCCTCAAAACAGTGATTTACATCAGGCTTCCTAATGTGCAGAGCAGATTTAATAAAGTGGTTAAGTTCACCTCGGCCTCTCCTCACTTCTGCTTGCCAGAAACACTAAAATCTCCCCAGTTACCACAATACCGAGATCATTCCCATTCCCAGACCTGCATTACTTTCCCCAGTTTTGTCAGATAATCTGCCCTGGGGTTATGAAAGGTCCTGCTTCCACAGAGTGAAACAAGAGCAAAGATGAGCCACAGGCCTTTCCTGAGTACACAGTGGAGAAAGATAGCTCCCTGGGATCCCTCCACCCAATCTGGAAGCAAAAGAAAAGAGGCTCAACTCTTCACCTCACCAGTTGTGTATCATCCTGAGACCTCATAAGCACCTGAGCAGTGGTGACACAGGGACCCCAAGTGAAGGAGCATCAATGGGCAGCCCCACTATTGTGGAAGAAGGCACTGAGGAGCACTGAGAAAAAGCAATTATTTCTTGTTTTCCAAGAGAAAAATAAGTGTGTCCACCACACCTGAGAAGGAAACCATGCAAGCAAGATCCTATAACATTATTTCAGACACAGAATTCTGCCAGGACCCCATCTTCTTCTGGTGTATCTAGGTATTAATTTATGGTATTAAATTGGCATAAAATCTAGCTAAAAATAATTTTCCAGGATGTATCAACGACAGGTATCATCTAAAGCTTTGGGCACAATATGTTTTCAACAGTAGGACAGGTTATATTTTTTTACTTCAATACTCCGTTTCCTGATTTACTGTGTTAGAATAAAATTAGAAAGATGTCTTATCACTATACATTTTAAGGTTTTTGAAGCAAGTTACATGAAAGGTGAAACCAGCAAATATTTTTAGTCTACCAACTATTTATTAATATTTGGTCCACTTAAAGATATTACATCAATAGCCAGCTCCAAGCTCTAGTTAAAGCTGTTATCATTTCCATTATAAAATCCATATTTCAAGGCTTTATAATGCATTCTTCCCAAATTATATTAGTTGAAACTCAGCATAAAGATAGTCACCCTGGCAACTAATGTATCACTTTCTTTTTTTTCTCCTTATTTTTTTCTTTTTTTTCTTTTTACTTTTGTCCTTTTTTTAAAAAAAAATTAGTAGTTCATTTAAATCAATTTAGCCTGTTTCGGTTTCTAAGAGCTAGGAAATGCACTGTCTTTCTGAGAGGTCATACGCTCTGGTTTTAAAGTTCAGGCCAAAAGTTGCTTATATTTGAGAAACATTTTTACAGTTTTTTTGGTCAGTTTTACTGACATTTGACTACAAAAGATTACCAATCTCTGTGGACATCATAATGACTTCACTTTAGACAGTGAAAGTTGTACAAAATCTGTGTTGCATTCAGAGGGAAGTTCAGACACGTTAAAAAATGGCTGAGATGATAGAGAGATGCAAAATTTTTATCTTTTAAGTAGATATTGATATTTAATATTCCATATAGGCCCAATCTGTGCCAAATTCTGATACTCCTGGGCATTTCACATTATGTAAAGATAACCAGCACATTATTTTCTGACACTACTTGCACATCATGCATGTACTTACAGCCTTTTATTCCATCAGTATTTTATACAATTTAACTCTGTAGTGGCATCCTTTAAGTTACAGAAGAAATTTCCCAAGGGACATGCTAGGAGCATTTCCTTCAATGGAGATAAGCCAATTTGTGGTGTCTGAGAAAAATGCCTCAGGATGTGTCATCAAGAAATGATCAAGAATTTTAACTGACTCTGAATTTTAGGAATCTGTCTGCAAGTCTTAGTTTCAGAAAGTGCCTGCATCCAAAGTTTGAAAAATTAGCTAATCTTAATGGAGTTGCTATATTTATTTACTTGGGTTAAATGTCTAATGAACATCTCCTCTTACTGCATTTATGATGCTGCATTATATAATTCAGTATGACTAACCATGTAAACATGTTTTAGAGGTGTCTACGATTTACCCTATATGTAGGAATTAAAGATTTCTTAAAAATAGAATAACTTGAACTTCTTTTTGTCTTTCTCAAGCAGTCATAGTTCTGGTTAAGAAAGTCCAATTACCAAATACTTCCAGGTTTGGTTGGAAGACACCGAAAGCCCTATCATGCTTTTGCAAAATTTGAGCTTTTTGTATGTCATCTCTTAAATTCAACTTCACTTTTGAAAAGTTTTTTGAACTCATCATTTAGTCTTACCAGAAATTATCACCTCATTGGTCTTTGTATAGTTTCCCTATTTCCCTAATTCACTTTAGATACAATCAGACCATTGATTACAACTGTCTAAGCTACCTCAGGTAACTGAAGGAAGTTAAAGAGCTTCACATAAACTCCTCTAATGCATACCATATATTTTCCTCTCACCTTATGTACCTGCAGTGGCAATTTTTATTCTCTTTGAATAGTATTTTACTCAAGAAGGTCTCCCATTAAAGTATTACAGTGAGCAAAGGTATCAGGTGTGAATATTGGTGGGTTTTGTGTGACAGGACTTGGTGCATTCATGAGAGCCTACTGATGTGACCATGTCTTGAGAATATTTGTCCCCAAATGAAGCTCATATTTGTTGAACAGACAATGTAGTTTTCTTTATAGAAATCATCACCTTCAATAGAAAACCTTCTTTTTATCCATCATATTAAAAATGACGTGGAGTTCATAAACTCCTTCTTATGCATGTATACTAGTGCAAAATCAGTACTTGCTACTACTTATTTCACTTATGCAGGAGAATTCACATCTCCAAAGCCACTCTGGACTGCCTGAATGGGGACTATAAAGTTGAAGAAGGGCATGGCAAGGAGCGTAATGAATTCTTGAGGAAACATAACATTGAGACTTATTTAATTAAACAACCTGAGGAGAGTCTGTTGACTTTGCCTGAAGATATTGTGAAAGAGGCTGTCAGTTCCTCCGACAGGAGAAACAGTGGAGCAACATTTACCGAAGGATCCTGGAGCCCTGAACTTCCATTTGATAACATAGTGGGAAAACAGAACGTAAGTCAAACTTCCTTTAATGTCATCAAGTATGAATGTATGCTTGAGTGCATTTCAATAATGGAAGCCTCAGAGGAGAGAAATTAATCTTTAAACTTTATTCTAACACATACTGTAACAGCAGAGGATTAAACAAATTGTTTCAGGACCAGGGAATCAGAGGTTTGGGGGTTTTTTCCAACTGAAATTAAATGCTATACAGCTTAGTTTTAACTAAACCAGTCCATAAAGAAGTAAATTAAAGGTAAAGTTAATGACACTAAACTTGCTGGGACATTCTAGTCAGAGTATGTATCTCATTGCACAGCTTCACTGCACTGCCATCAAAGTAAAGGCATGAGTGAATGGACGTCTTGCCAGAGGAAAAAGCATAGTGTAGGTTATTGATATATAAGGGAAAGAAAAAAGATCTACCTTAAAAGAAGAACCTTGTGAAAACAGTGTGTCCATTCTTCACTTTCCTTTTTTTTCTTTTTTTTTTTTTAATAGAAAACATTATAAAAATAAATTCTGAGACATAACGAAGGTGGACTAGCAGGTGAATTAGCCTTTAAGGTCATGCGTAGCTCAATGATAATAACAACTGCTCTTGATCAGATCTTTTCCAAAAGCATTCCATGGCTAATTGCGAGCACTCTGGGAACCAGTAATTCTTGTACAGTCATAGAAATCACTTGTGAAGTCTGCTTGCTTAGAGGAATTAAAGACAGAAAAGTTAAAATGCCCTCAGACTCCACTCTTTTCACTGCATTTGAAAGATTGATGAGTCTTTAAGACACAAGGTCAGCTCGAGTTTTTCTTCCATATTCCTGAGGGATTTGTAATGACACGATATACCCTTTTTTCTGCTGTACATCCTTAGTCCTACTTGTCTGCACTGTCTATTGAACTTCAAGCATTGTTGTGTGGAGGTCTTGCTTTGTCAACCACCTTCTGCTCCTTACAAATCTGCTCAGAAGTGATAAGCCTTCACAATCAATCAGCCTGTGGTGGTGTCTTCATCTCTTCTAACTGAACTGGAGCATGGCATAGTTTGCTGCTATATAAAACACTTGTTTTATATGTGTTCTGTACATCTGTGTATCTGCATGTACACTGCCTTTCAGTATTCTCTGCATTTTGTTGATCTGTCTCTATATTCACATTTCATTAGGAATAGAGGTATGGGTGCATGCTGTTGTGAATATCTTGTGATCTCTCTCTGTTTCTTCTTCTTTCCCCTTAAGACTTTTCAATTTCTGTAGTCCAAAAAATCTATGCAAAGTAGGTTATAATTTCATTGAACATTTTCTCATCTAAACCTGACCTTGATGCTAACAAGGAATCAAATAAAAGACTAGTGGTTCTATTTGATTATTGAACAATTCCCACCCAGTAAATCAGTAAAAAGCCCATGAAAATCATTGAAATAGGTATAACTGAACAGTTGTTTTAAAGCAGATTTTTGTCTTATGACAATAAACCATCCATTTTTAGGATAGTTTTGCACTTTTTTAAGAAGTTGTTTTCATACTGGAGTTAGATATTTTATATTACACAGCTTTACAATAAGCTTTTTGGTGGAGACAAGATTTTTAAATTCTGCTATTCCATGTGTGATTCAATTATTATGTAATTTTCAGTTTTAAAGTTGAGACAATATATGTAACTTCATAAATAAAGTATTTCAGCTCAAAATTCAGACGATAGCTTCAAATTATACTAGGATATAGTAGCTTTTTCCAGAGGTATGTCAGCCTTGGACAGAATAAGCATTTAATAACACTAATTATGCAGCCTAAAGGTCACTGACAGCAATAGGCATTGAGAATACAAGTAGCAGCAACCCAACAATGAATCATTCTGTATGTCTGAATATTTGCCAATAGCATTTAAATAATTTATTTACCCAATATAAGTTACAACAACATTTGAGCAATTTTGATCACATGTCCTACTTTTAGCTGTAATTATGTTAGGAAGAATATGAAATGGCAAAGCCTCTGTTGTGTTCTCTTGCCAAACTCAGACTAGTCACAACCCATATTCTTTACCTCAAAATCATTTTATATGGGCAGCCTAAGACAATGAATCAAGGTTGTGTTGATAAGTGAGGAACAGAATAACCATTCTTTATTTATGCAGTTGATATTAATGAGGAACAAAATAACCAGTCTTTACATACACAGTCACAGACACTAACAAAAGTTGCATGTGTCTACAACACAGTTAACACCATGTCTCTGGTGGTGAGGTAAGCCAAGGATGCAAGTGTCTGCTCTGAAATTCAGACCATGCCAAATATGGGTAGTGTTTTTTGTTATTGAAACAGGTGTCTGGGCTTCTTTTCTAAAGCACAGAAAGTTGGGCAGAAGTTATTTTATGTTCAGAGAGTGAAGGTCCATTTACCCAGGAAACGTTCAAGGTCAGGTTGAACGGGCCATGAAAACTCTGTAGGAAGGAAGTAAAATATAATGCAAGCTACCTTTTAAAAATCTCTATAAAATATCTCTAAAGTTGTAGATTTTTTTTTCTTTTAATTCATCCTATCTTTTAGTTTCAGATGCAAGTTTGGCCAGGCTTTTTCCTAACAGAACCTTGCATGTGTGTTCCTGTATGATGAAGGGTTATTGTCAGCATTAGAAAAGTTCAAAAGCCCATTGTGGAATTCACAACTGTATCTTCCATACAGCTGTTCACAAAAGTGTAGGAGAGGTAATAGGGAGAACCAGTGCTTCTTACGTTGGCATAACACAGTCTTAGAAGATGCAGAGCAAAGAGGGGGCTACAGAGACAAAATGTGGTTAGAACATATTGCTGGGGAAATAATTTGTATAATATTTTTCATTATTGTTATTAATTACAGGGAAACAGTTTTATTAAGTATGTGTGAGAGAAAGAAGACTCCACTAAACTTAACTATGAATTTCCTTGTTATCCTCTGAAAATAAATGCAACTTCAGAGTCCATTTTTGCACCAATACCACTGGCACCATAGCCATAGCAGTGATATTATGTTATATTAATTTGCCATTAATTGTAAACAACTTCATACATTCAGCAAGAAGACAATTCTTCATATTAATCAAATTTTAAAACATAATTTGAAACAAAATGTAGTGACTTACTAGGATGAATTGAGATTATTATCCTTATGTAAATCAAACACAGTGCCCAGTTAAAACATCAGGGACCTGCTCCAGTGGAGGTGTAGCAATAAGAACTAATTCTGAGGAATTAATGCACACAAGAACTTCTGATGTGATCTCATCCTTTAACAGTGACTTCAGACACACTTGTGCAATTTCAGCCACCAAAAATTGATAATAGCTTTTCTGCATAGCTCAGCTGACAAGATATAGGAATACCTAAACTAAAGTAGTGTCTTAATGTGTAGTAATATAGTATTTATCCAATTGATGCAATGGATTGTTTTCCTGGGATTTCGCTCTAACCTTGGAGTTTCCACCTTAACTGCAAGGCTAAGATATGGATCCAGATATATCTGAAAATTTAGTATGAGAAAGTTTCCTTGATATTTTTTTTTTTGTCCACATGTTGGTGATACTGATTTTCTAGATGGAAGATGGAGAGATTTCAGTAGCGTGATTTGCCAAACCTTCTCTACTAAAATACTTTTTCTACTAATGCAAACAGAAAAAGTGCTTTTCACTTAAATAGACAGAAGATTTTAAATCCTTTTCTGCCTCTCTTTTGGGCTCTTAATTTACTCATCAAAAGATGGAATATGAGAAATCAAGATACTATCTGCAACCATGGAGTTCATGGACTTCATTTTAGGATTGGGGTTTGACAGTGGGTACCTGAGACGCTTCACTATTTTCCAAGATTCATTAGAATGTAATTGCTGACTATAGTTTGAATATGAACAAGAGAAATCTCCCTATATAATTTCCTATATGTAATCCCGTGATCCAAAATAATTGGTTTTCCAGAGAAATCTAGTGATAATCCATCCCAAACTCCTATTTCCAACAATGCCCAGTAGGAGATATAGCAGATCTTTTCAGCGATGATCTATGGGATACCTTGACTCAAGCAGAAGTGTATGTCTTGTCCATAATGATGCCTAAGTGTCCTATGCTGTGATGTATGAAGTTTTATATCCTTTCCATTCATTAACATTTCTTAACCCTTGGGAATATCTCAGGTAGTAGAGTTTATTTTCCCATTCAAGCGGGAAAGTGCTGCTTCACTGTGGTTTGTGTCATGAAATCATACTATTAAACTGGACTGAGTTATTCTCTTTTTAAAAGCAAACTCTACCTCTTTCCTGAAGGTGAAGCAACCTTTGTACTATCTCTCCTAGTTTTACTTGCAAAGCTGTGCAAAACTATTTTATCTTTTTCTTTCGGTTAGTCAATGAAATACTAAAGGAATAATTCATTTAAGATAATATTTAAAATAATAATATGAATTACAGTTAAATTACACCATATAGCCTAACTGTAATCTAGACTTGCTGAAATATACCAGTAGTGAAGAAGAAAATATTATCTGAAAACCAGTGCAGAAGTAATCAGAAATGTCACCTTCTTCACTCCTGCCTAACTAATCTGTTCCTCAACTACACACATCCAGTAACTTTAAGATCAAGAAAAACATAATTGCTCCTGTTTTGTGATTTCTGTTCTGTAGCTTCTATTCTTAATTGTTAAAACACACCATTGAGTTAGATACCCTGCTGTGATTTGGGTGTGTACTCCTCTCATGCATGCTCTAATAATTAATTAGTAGAATCTGGAAAGTGGAATTTAGTCCTAGTGTTCAGTACAGCAGCAAACTTTCTAGTCTGTATAAAAGAGGATATTAAAGTACTCCCCTTAATTTACTGTATGTGTTTAGTGGAACAGACGACTTATTTTACACTTCTATAGATTTCATTGAATGAATTGCATGGAATGCTGTAATGGTTTGCAATGCAACATGATCTAAAACATTGCATTTTTAACCCAAGGGGACCAGCAGGTTTATTCTGTTTGCATGTGCTTTCCCCTAGACTCTGGCTGCCCTAACAAGAAATTCAATAAATCTGCTTCCAAACCATCTTGCACAAGCTTTGCATGTCCAGTCTGGGCCTGAGGAAATTAACAAGCGAATAGAGCACACCATCGACTTACGGAGTGGCGATAAATTGAGAAGAGAGCATATCAAGCCTTTTTCACTGATGTTTAAAGACTCCAGCCTGGAGCATAAGGTAGCTGGGTCTTGGTAGCTGCATTATTCGCAACTCAAATTGTAATAAATGTCCACTGAAATAGAGAAGCTGTAGGTTCAAGCTTGCATTTTTTGTTTTCTAGTTTTATTTTTCTTTTTCATTTTGTTTCAGTTTTCAGAAGTTGGGACTGAGCTAGAGGTCATAATAATAGACAGTGTCATGATGGAGGTGTTATAATGCTGCAATTATTATGTTTCTCTGTTGGAAAATGCCTACACTGAGCAAACTATGCTTCTGAAAACAACAGCCGTTTGACACGTTTCACTTGCTGTCGAGTACAAGCAGTTTTCCGTCTGTTGACAGGTTGCTTTGGCACAAACAGTGATTGAGCATATTAATAAACTGACACATATTCAAAACAAATATCTATATTTATATAGATATGTTCCTTTCACATTTAGTCATACAATCCATCTGATGTCCTCTAGGCAGCTGCTATGTTTATTACAAATCAAAACTAATTCATCAACTCCTTGTTTTAAACATCCTTTTTTAACATCTGCTTCTAAGAGGTAAATACTTTCCATGTAACAGCAATATGATCACACTAATTTCTATTTCAGTCTACATCCAGATGTAAGTTATAAGTTAAAAAAGATAAGGCAATGGGAGAACTTTCCTTGCAAGCTGATGACGTGGGATGGGGTTGCACAGATCTCAAATGTTTTCATTGACTTGTATGCTATTACCATGCAGCAATGGCGGGTCTGCAATAAGATGTACACTTGACTGAAAAGAAAGAAAAATAATGGGGAATTGGAAGCATGGAGGCTCATTTCTTCATCATCATGTTACTCTCCACTGGAAAACAGACTTTTTTACTTGACTTATGGAAGACAGTCCTCAGGTGGTTTTAGTGTTGAGAGCTTAATGAAAATAATTGGAAAAGAAAAAAAAAAATGCCTGAAGTATATCTAAGCCCTTATTTCACAAGCAAACATGTAGAAGGAAAAAGAAAGGTTCATTTTAAAAAAAAGAGAATAGATTCAATTTCCCCATCGGGATATTTATGACACTGAGACACAAGGTAGAAGCCCCAAAGCTGAATTAGCCACTACTGCTGTGACAGAAGACATGAAGATATTTCTTTCAGTCATCATGCAAAGCTGACAGGGACCCAGAGGAAGTGAAATTCAATATTTCTGAGATCCTGTGAATTACTATCTAAAGGCCCAAAAGTCATGAGCAATTTTTTCAAGGCACAAGGTCAAAAGATAAGGTGAAAGAGTCTAGAAAAAATAGCATGTAACCTAGGAGGTAGATGATGGTATATTAGAATTTTTTTGTGCAAAAGGGGAAACAGCCTGGTCACAAACAACCAGTTGAATGAGCAAATTTACCAATGGTTCACCTAGCCTTACATTACTATTTAATAAAAATGAAACCTGAACATTGGCTGGAGTAAAGGTACGCTACCTAGAATCAGATCTTGTATTAAGAATATGAACTTTCTTGTCATTTTAGATTTCACAATTATCAGCCACAAAGAAAATCTATGGGGAAAGTGTAGAATTTCTTTTAAGTGCAATTTAAGGAGGTGGGGAAAAAAACAACCATGCTCTAATCCATCATATCACATATGTCAGATTTTAAATATTAATAAAGATTTAATTGCACCTGAATGACAAAAAGTCCAATTAAAGGTCAACATTTTTAGCAGTCTTGATACATTTTCTTCTCATTATGACATTTGTATTTTTCAATGTTTGGAAAGTGGTGCTTTCCTTCAATATTCCCTTAGATGTTAGTCCCAACCAGTAAGCACATATAATAGAAATACAAAATCCAGTAAAGTAGACTGAATATTCTATCTGTCCTCTAAATTGGGATAGATTTTAGCATTTCATAGCATTTCATGGGAGTAAAGTTTTAAAAAATATCAACACTACTTTATTTGCTCTGGTTCATCTGCCTCAAACAGTTGGATAGTTACTGGCAACAGCCTCCTTGCTAGTGTTCAGGGTGCCAGGGAGAAGGATGGAGAATGTACCAGGATGCAAAGGAATGATGTGGACTAAGGAAGGATGAATCACAGTGTCCTCTTCATTATAGGCAGGAGCAATGTCTTGTGGGACAACATGGGAAATGTCCCTTCCCTCCTCATTTGCCTATGCACTAATTACAGGTTCATCCAAATAGCCTTAATGTTAAATCATAGTCTATAGGCAGTCATGAAAACAGTGTGTGAACTGTTTTTATACAGAAAGTAGCTATTTCCTCCATATTATATTACTACCACTTTCTCCCTTCTTCCTGCCCATTTAGGAAACAAAACAACAGACTCAGATTTAAACTGGAGTCTCATAAAACTATTTCATCAGCCTTTCTCTTTGCTCTCCCCACCTCTAACCTTTCAGTCTGGAATTATGTTTTCTTCTAGCCGTTAACATTTTGCAACTGCTTACATGACCTTCTACATCAGCATCTTGAGCTGCTCCCTGCAGTGTTGCTGAGCAAGTAGACAATAGGTGTCTACAGGCCCCTCACATGGTTGTTTTCGTTTGCTGCCACTCACCTTCTCTTCAGCGCAGTGGCAGCTTAAAGTCAGAGGTAGCTCTGCAGTGAAGTAAAGTAACTTCTCCTATGTAAAATCTTGTGCCCTCACATTAGCCATCACACTCTTAGGCAGTGCTGGCATCTACCTAATACTTATTTATTTTATCTGTAAGTACTTGTCACCCCAGACTTTACAATTATTCAGTAGGCACAACCAGTACCCATAGCTGATATCCCAACCAAGAAGTATCACATTAACCTTGTTCAATGAGAATTGTGTTAATGTTCTGTACCTCAAACCACAGAGAAGTGAGCAATCATATGAACAATAAACTATATTTCTTCCTCCTGCATGAGTAACAGGACTACCATGCCATGGAATCATAAATCCTTTGAGATGACCTGAATAGATCTGAAATGTCATGCTGGAGTTCTGTTTAAACAAACAGTCTGGGTTGCATCAGGTTTTTTTCATTATAAAACAATTGCAAACAACAGATTTAAAATGGCAAATAAAACTCTGTTTTGCTTACTTTAAGGTTTCAAAAGGTAAAAAAAAAAAAAAAAAAAAAAAAAAGTTCTGGAATAAACATGCCCAAAACTACCATGAGAGCTAGCACTGCTCCTGGGTGGCAATGGTTTAAATGACTAGTATATCACAGCAGTTTAAGCCGTTGGTACATCTTCCCACTCCTCTCTTCTCTCATTGCTCTACGTCCTTCCTGGTAATAAATTAAATGCAAGTAGTAACAGTTACATTAGCAAATGCATTCTCTCCCTGAGGCAGTATGTATATTTTGACATGAATATTTTAATACTTAATTTTTCAGAGGATTTGTGCAGGATCCACACCTACTATATTTTATAGATTCTTTACCCAAATGCACTAGTCATTACTAACCTGTATTTCACTGATTAGCACTTAATATCTCATTTAGAGACAAATTCACTCTCAGTTTTGCTAGAGGTTATTTTTACAAATAGCATGTAGGCAGATAAAGCAAAAGACTCATCACAGGAGAGTACTTCTAATGGTGGCATGAAATACACTAAAGGTTTCTAAATATTTAATAGCTCATAAGGAAAATCTGAGACAACTTAGTCAATTTCCAATAATTAAAAGACATCATTATGATGCTCTGTCTTAATAGCAGTGACTTGGAAATATCAGTACCATGTATTTTCATACAGGATAAAGCATAGTAACAGGGCAGGGACTTTTATGTGCTGGTAGGGTATTTGGTAAGGAAAGTTTCCAATGTAAATACTTGTATAAACACATTACAAGTATTCCTGCATATTTGTACTGGGATCATAAATCAGACTGTGCTTAGAGGTGAAGTGTCAGCATATTTTCTGTGAGGCAGGCACACCAAAAATATCAAAAGGGCTTTGAATTTTACAATGCAGGTTTTCTTAGGTCAAGTATTGGATCTAAACATCTGAGTATCTCTGTTTCAGAATTTCTGATGGTTAAGATAAATAGAAGTTAAATGAATAGGCAAAAAATTTTGCCCTTCCTGCATGCTATATCCTTGCAGACATGAGCCTCACCTCGTTCCTTCAACCTCAAAATTTCCAGAGGCAAGAAAGTCTGCAATAAAACCCCAAACCTGCAGGCCTGTTCAGCATCCTCTTTTGTCATTGATCAGCAACTGGATTTGTATCTACCCTTTGGTCTTCCCAGGAGTTCATCCATCTCTTCTCCTGCCTTGGGCTTCCTGTTGCATCTTCTTCTGTCCCTCCCCTGTACTTCAGAAGCTTTTCCAGTGGCACAAACACCATTGCTCTGCAGAAAAAGAAAGCATGGTCTCCCTTTTCATCCATAAGGTCTTATCTGAGTCAAAGAGCAGCAGTGAGGATAAGACCAAAAACCTTCCTCCCAGTGCACAAACATTTTATCTAAGTGAACACGTAAAGCCTGTTGTATTACCAGTAATCCCCTTTCAAAGAGCCCTGGGAAAAGTGAGGAAAGGTGGGAAACAAGCAACATTACTTGGCAGAGGAAACTTGGCCTTCCTTACACCATCTCAGTTTCAGCTAGCTGATAAACAGCATCCCTCCACCTGTGCAGGCAAAAGGCTTAATTCCCCTGGGAAGCAGGGTGATCCTTCACTACGCCACGAGCAAGTCATGCCAGTGCAGGCAGATCTGTGGGATGTTGCAGCTAAGGTTTTCACTGCAAAATACATCATATCGTGAGTCTACATGGCTCTGGTTGGCTACATGCCTCCTCATACTTATCTAGGTGCCTTGAGGCTTAGTCTTTCCTTCAGTTACTTCTCAAAGTCATTAAGAGGTAGACTGCTACAGAAGTGCTACATTTATTACTGGTGTTTGTGCTGCTGCAGAGGTGCTAACAATTTCTCATTACAACATTGTTACTGATTAGACCCCATAATTCATCCTTTTGACACAATGCTCGACACAGCAGGCAATCCCGTGTTTGTGTTTCATTCAATTAGTTTGCTATAATTTCCCTAAGGAACAGTTACGGGACTTCACGTTATATTTTAAGGAACATACCTTTCTTTTTTTCCTTCAGTTCTTTTTGTATCGTAACCAAATAAAGCTCTGGTCTGTTATTTAAGCAGACTGATGCCATTCTGTTTTCCTGCACATGAAATCAAGGCCGGTGCCTCTTTCCTTCCAGCAGCAAAAAGAAGCAGAGCTGCCTGTGAGCACTATCAAAAATCATGTCAAAGTGATACTGCTTCTACCAACAGCAGACACAGAGTATAACCACAGCAAAGGAGGAGTCAAAATGAGGGACACCAATAAATAAACCTCCACTCTTACTCATAACAAGTGGGAGCAGGGAACTGAGAAGCCTTTTTTTACAATATCAGGAGCTTGAAACTGTTTTGACCTGGTGTCTACAAGTGAGATGAAGTCCCTACCGAAGATCCACATAGTGAATATAATCGAAGTCTAGATAGGATCTTCCTTCAAGAGCAGATTAGCTATGAAATACAGTTTATAGCTGAACTCTCTCAATGTAAGTTCCTGACACATTTCTTAATTGGTTTTATTTTTTCTCAATTATAATGCTTTCTAGTCATTTATAACTGCAGTTTGCCTTATTTCCAAATTACTGGAGAAAGATTCTGATATCTGATCTCTCTTTGCATCTGATTTCCTTTTGTTCTGCACATGTAACTCATAGCTCCTTCAAAGCTGCAAAAGATTAAAATGGAGTTATTCCTTCTATATATAGAAGGAAAAATGACTGGGAGAGACATCTGTGGGATTTTTTAACTAGGTGAAGAAAATTTAGTGGCATGAGTATAAGATAAAGAGTTTTACAAAAATATGTCTGTGGACCAATCATTTCCTGTAAACAATTGGAGTTTAACTGAATTAGCACTGATAAATACCAGCTGAGACTTAGGTAATGTTTCCACTTAACTGATTCAGTGTGATCCACCAAGGTGTCTGTTACTCCTTTTCTTGGTAATTCCTATAAAAGGGGAACCTACTAGTATTTTCAGTGGTTTGGTATGCTCAATAAAAATACTTTTGGAATAAATCATAATAATAATGTACCTCAAATGGTCTTTTACATAATAGCACTGCCATATTGTCCCTGGAGAATGTCCATATTGTTTCTGCGCAGCCTCTGGTTAGGATATAGAGATCATGACCCACATCCCAGATAGTCACAGAATGTCCCAAGCTACATATTTTTTAAAAAAAGAAAAATAAAAGCAAAACCAGAATGGCCTCAATTTGGCAAGTATGGAGACACCTCCATGACGTCACACATGCAGAGTTGCAACTGACTTCAGTTTGTCCTCAGGTGAGAAAACCTGTGGTTTCTCTGGTTAAACTGTTAAGTATTTAGTATTCTACTCAGCAGCACAAGCCCCTAATATCTACCTGGGGATTTTTAAAATAATTTTGAAAAAGAGGCAACCAAGTAAAACAAGTTTGTTTTGCAAATTACAGAGTTTTGCTCTCTTGTATAAAGTATTTTACCAGTTTATTAATTATTTGTTGTATTTCATTTTTAAAAACAAATTCAGGTTTATTTATTTGTTAGCTCTTCCTGATAATTTCCCCAAAGTCTCCTATATGCATCAGTCTTCATGGAAATACAACATGAGTTAACAGCTAATTTACTCTTTTTTTTTTCCTTTTTTTTCTTTTTTTATTCTAGTATTCTCAAATGCGGGATGAAGTATTCAAATCAAACTTGGTGTGCGCATTTATTGTTCTTGTATTTATCACGGCTATCCAAAGCTTACTTCCTTCTTCCAGGTAAATACAGAAATATATCTCTATATTTATGAAGGTGCTCTTGAGGAAACAGTGGGATAACATTTCTAGAACTGATGTGGAATGAACCAATAAAATTTAGTTGTCCCTCAAAAGTGTTCAGTAATATTTTTTGACTTCTTTTTCCCCAATATTAAGTACTTTTGTATCACATTATCTGCAGCTACATGTTTTCATGTGAGACAGCAGCGACATGTTTTTATGTTTTTAAGTAGAACCCCCACTGAAATAAATGAGAACTTTGGGTTGCAAAAGTTTGACACAGTAAGGCTTTCAGTGTTGAAGTAAAATATGATCCAGACTTATAACAGTGCCTCTGCTCAGTGCCTAGTAATGACCTTGGGAATCAGTGTTTGGTTTTGTTTCTTACATGCTTCATAAGAAAATCACACTGTTGTGCTTTGTTGCTGACGATATGTATTACCCAGCTGGGGAAAGCAATCTTGTGCCATGAAGAAACAGCAAGGAGGTGATCTAGCAGATCTTTTCTCACTTCTGCTTTTATCTGGGGCTGACCAAACAACAACTTCCTATCAAGGTGACAAAAATGTGACACAGTTGACACCTCTGTGTCCACATGTTTCACACAAACCCATCAACTGGTATCTTTATCTACTATTTAACAGTGAGAATACAAGAGCATGTACAAGGACTAAGGTCAGTTTTACAGCAAAGCCAGCAGAACAGGGCTGCCACTAAAACATGTTCCTGGTCCCATTCGGTCTTTGTCAGAGCAACTGCTAAAATGGAAATACCCAGATGAACATAATTCTCAGGTGGTTTCTAACACTCAGATGAACCTCAACTTATGGCTGCCTGTAGAACAACCTTGAAAATACAGTATTTGCATAAGAAATAAAATGTTTATTTTGTTATGGTAATGCAGCAATATTCTGTGGATCATCTATGGAAGACCTGGTTCACCATGCTTATGTTTAAGAATACCAAAATGGTGGTTAGATGCAGGCAGGCGACTGCAGTCTGCAGCAGTGGTGTCCCATGTATTTTGTAGTTTACATCTGGAAAAGTACCCAGAGTAGTACCTGACCTTCTGCTATTCCTGCTATTCCAAACTAACTAGTAAGTTTGTTAGCTTTTTGAAGTTCTTCTCCCAATACTCATTCAAAATTCTTCCCTTCTGGTAGCTGTTTGTTTTGTTGTGGTTTTTGGTTTTTTGGTTTTGTTTTTTTTTTTCTCAGTATGTACAAGAAGATTTATGGATCTTATTAATGGAACCTGTTTTCCAAAAAAGTTTTCTGCTACTATATCAATCACTACTATAGCAGCAAAAAAATGACAATTTTTCTACCTGCACAGATTTATCTCTGTTAATTCTCATGAAGGTGTCTAGTGTCACTGGAATTAGGGGAGAAGGAGTCACATAACCACATCACCTGCAGCTGTCTCACTTTCTGGTTTCCCATCTTGCACAGTAGTCTTTTGTTTTTCCTTGCACTTCAAAAATGCTTGGTGGACCTTTTTCTCACTGAATGTTAAATAAGTTGTAAATATAAATAGGTTTAAATAAAGATTAGATAAATTTCTATAAAACTAGCAGAGGTTTTTAAACAAAACTATGGAACCTTGGCCTTAGGAACACCCTTAAAGGTTGATTGGTGGAACCTGGGAAGATATTTAGGGAAAGGATATTTACCACTATCCCTTTTGTGAGAGAAGATTTGGAGCCACATGGGTTCTCTATGACAGTTCTTATATTCTTTCAGGAGCTGAAGATTACTGCCAAGATATAAGAAGGCAAATTTTGGTCTTCGTTTTTCAAGTTCTGATACTCTGCTTTAAAAAAATATGTTTCAGTCTTAAAAAAGCATGCCTGTTAAATGAACGGAGGTCAACAGATGAGCAACCCTAAAATAACAGGATGAGAGGTTTTGAGTGAGAAGGTTTCAATATGCTTAAGCATATTGAACGAGGAAATAATCTGGAAGTTCAAATTTCCTAAATTCCAATTCCAAAAACAACTTAAGGTATGAGCACATGAACAAGCTAACATAAAATTAGGCAGGATTTGGATTCAGATAGTCTTGGAGCTAACTGCATGCTCATCTGTTTTACCTCTAGTAGATATTAGAAATGTAAACTACCACAGTGGAAAAGCATAGACATAATTTCCATGGAACAATTAACAAACTGTAATTCACACTCTGCATGGTAATTTACCTATTTCCTAACAACTTCCTTCCAATGAATCCTTCAGAGCTCCATTGAACAAGGATAGAATTTTGTATTTGCTTAAATACAGGATTTAATATTTTTCTGATCTGAGTCTTTTTGAGATTTCTGGAGATTCAGTGAAATAAAACATTATTTAAACAATTGTTAAACATATCTGACTAACGATCTTCAGGGAGTTTCCCAGATAAGTTGCCTTTGTCTGGATGTTAAAGGGAATCATCTTTCTATTATTGCATCTACTGTGTATGGGAGTTTCAGAATTTTACCTTAGTTTGTATCTGTCTCCCTCAGGATAAATAGTTGATCCATTTATACTTTGACAGGGTAGACACGTCACTGAATTTAAAAATCTTTGCAATAATTTTCATTCTTTGAAATATCGAGTTGGGGAAATTACTCTAAGTGACAAAAATTAATGCCATACTTCTGCTGTAATTATCCTCTATGAAGCTATTAAGTTACATTGCCAACCTTGCAGTGATTCATCTTCTCCATCTGAGAGGCCAGGGAGTTTGATTGATTTCCTGCAATGAACTCTCTATATACTCACATAGGCAATAGATCATACTAGAGTAGACTGCAGAACTACTCTTATTTCTGTCAGTTTTTCACTGGGTTATTCTTATGAGGAGAGAAAAACGAGTTTCAAACTGTTGTTCATTTAAACATCTGCACCTTCTATTTTACATAAGTCTTCCTTCAGGCTCAACTCTTGATTTGCTATTGTGCACAAGGCAGAAGGAAGGTAAAATCTCCATTTCAAATTTCACTTGACCTTGACAGTAAGGGAATCCCTAGAAATAAAAGCATTTGGTCTTGAATCTCTTCTTGAATAAACAGAGAATCCAGCCCAAGTGTCCTAGTTCTAGGAAGGGTTAATGGACAGGAGAGTATTATGACTGTTTGTTCCTATTCCTCTAACCTTGGCCATGTCTTCTGCTGTACTTGATCCTATCAGGATACTGCCAACAAAATCCTAGCACAGATGCTGGATTGATCCTCTAGAAATTCATAGCTGTACAGACCAGTTTTGCTTTTATCTCAAGCAGTCTCGGACACAATACAAACATATCAATGTTCAAATGAAAAGCTACTGTAGAAGAATTTTTAGAGCCTGTATATTTATTATGAACAAATACAAGGCCATGGTTTGTCAGGCACTTGAGCAGGGTGTGCTGCATTTTGGATTGATATCCCAGACAGGTCCCTCAATACTCCCTTTATAGTACCTTAATTCAATAGCACTGGGTCTTACATGTAGAGTTTGGCAACAAGAACTCATGTTTAGTGTCCTCAGGTCTGACCTCTTGAGGCTTGACCCTAATCTTCTGAAAGTCTTAATTTAGTTTCATTTACAGCCGGGTCAGACTAAGTGTGCAGAACTGGTAGGCTACTTCTGCATATAGACTGTCTATATATATCTGAGATATAGATAGAAACAATCAGTTTCAAAGACAATCTCAGTCATTTCGCTTTGGAAATCAAGAGGGCTATTGCAGAATACTGCCGTAGCATAGAAAACAAGGAATTAATCTCACATAACTATCTGTCAGTGTCTATACCCTGGTTCAAGGTCAAGCCACTGGAGAATGAGTCAATCAGTGGATCTGAATGTCTCTAAGAGACTGTTGTGCAATGAGATGAATTGTATCTGAAACTACACAGGTCTTCTAATGAACCCTCTTGACTCCCTGACTAGTTCTCCATGAACATATTGTCCAGTTTTTCCCTGGCTTTATTGCCTGTCTCTGGCTTGGTTTTCTGTGTATTTTCACAGACAGAAGCTACTTTCAGGACATCATTGCACTGTGTCTCTACTTGGTAGTGTTGGGACTTTCAGCAAGTCCTGAGTTTCTTCCTACAAAACTATTAGCCAGGCAGGATGAAATCTGCAGCTGCTGCCCCAGTCTGTGTTTCCTCATTATTCCCTCTTCCCTTCATAATACAGCTTGTTTTTTACTGGGTACATTGTTCCTTCTTTAAAAAGTAAGCTTTATTTCTGGGTGAGGTCATTGGAGAGGATAGGACTTTTTCGGGAAACTCTACTGTGTCCTGTATTCAAGTCACACACAAAACTCTGACAAAACTTGTTGGAGTGAAATGCTGACCCAAGTGTAAGATAACACTTCATACCAATGGTATGTCATCAGAACAGTGTCAAAGCTAATACAGGCTGATTCCAAGCTTGTTCTGCTATGTCCATGTACCTTCTTCCTGCCATTATCTCAGTGTGGTTTCCTCTTCTCATGGGTTACAGACGACTTAGCTTATGGTGAAGTTTTTTAGATTGAAAGCTTTAGTTAATAGGCTAAAACCATATTTAATTCATATCTATATGAGTTCAGAATTTAATCTTATAAAGACAAATTTGAATAGCCTGAAATTGGGGAGAATTTCAGGTAGGTTGATATATAGTCCATTCAGATTCAGGGACTGGATCTGGCAGACATACTGAAAAATGAGGAACAAAAAGCTATGTTGTTCTCACTTCTGTTTCCACCTTACACCCTTAAATTTGTCTTGCATAGGGCACAAGTGTACAAATATCATTGCACCCTACCCAAAGAGAAGAGGGGTAGGCCATGTGTAGTAAAATCTGAAACTTTTTTTTTTCAATAAGACAAAACGTATGTTTACAGAAGGCTTAATGAGCAGAGTACAGCTTAGCTACACTCAGCCACCCAGAAGTGCAGAAGTCTCCCTGGAGTACTCTGATAGTCCACTTTCAAAGATTTTTTTTCTGTGAGATATTATGATTAAATCACTGTAGTGTGCTGCCATGTATACAACTAGGTTATTAGATATATTAATTTTTTAATTCAAAGCCTCAAGTTTAATTATTCTCCTTATAGAAAAAAGCAAAAGAAAAGAGAGTGAAGAGGGGAGAGAGACACAAAAGGACAATGACTGACAAAAATGAAGACAAAAATCTTGACTGCTGAAGTGCTGAGTGCTTCCTTAGTGAAGTAAAACGATTTACCACATTTCCCAACCACATCAGTTACTTGATTGACTTGAGGTCCCAGATTTAAGCAAGAAAGAAGAATAAATTCAGAAAAATATAATGAAAGTTGGAATAGAAGAAATTATGGTTTTTAACAGCTTGTTCAAAGGAATTGAACTGTCTGTTCTGTGTATGCACATAACAATATTTGATTAAGGATCAAATTTGACAGAACAATGTTTATAGGATATGCCAAATGACATGTTTTATTTAAACATTTTTTGGATCATAGGACACCTTTTCATCTGCTTTGTATTTTAAAGGGCTTCCATGAAAACAATAGAACATTTCTTTTGCTTTTTTAGAAACCAATGAGATTCTTAGCTTCAGTTGAACCGCTACTAATTAAAATGAGGGGAATCTTGCATTTATGTAATTACTATATCCTGAATTATGCCAGAAATTAAGCTGCATTATTGTATTCACTTTAGGGTCCGTGACCCTTAGTATAGTATGAGTTTAAAACACCTGTGTTGTTCAGTATATGAAATAACACTCCCCTAAACTGCCCCCCGAAGTAGCCTACTACAGTGTGAACCAGCTCATACATAAGTGGTATCAGGATCCTACAGGCTGAATAGATTTATTATGAAAGAAACTCAAGGGAGAACTGAGTCCCAAAAGAAGGGACATTCTTGCCACTCAGACTTTATATAGATAGAGATAGAGGCATTGACAATGCTTTATGTGGCTTGTTTCTTCAACAGCAGTATCTCAGCATGAAACCATGTGAAGCAATGGCAGATCTATGGAACATGAACAAATCTTGCTTTCTCTGGGTTTTTTCCTAGACTAATTTTCTCAGATTTATTACAATTGATTTTTCCTAGTCTTAACTGTTTACACATTTATTTTTACTAGCAGTGGTAATGAGCTGAGGTTTAATGCTAGGTTCTCTGTTTTTTTATTCCTAGGGTGATACCAATGGTCATTCAGTTTTCTATTCTGATTATGCTGCACTCCGCTCTTGTACTAATCACTACAGCAGAGGATTACAAATGTTTACCCTTAATGCTTCGGAAAACTTGCTGCTGGATTAATGAGACCTACCTGGCCAGGAATGTCATTATATTTGCATCCATTCTGATTAATTTTCTTGGAGCCATCATCAATATTGTAAGCTTATAGGGAACCAGGGAATATTAGACTGGAAAAGATGATTTATGGATTATTAAGCTTGTTATGGGACTTGCTAACTAATGTGTTTATAAGACAACTACAATTTAAATATAAAAGAAAAAGTACCACAGCTTCAAGAAATTCATTCTGTTGCTGAAACTGTGTATTTCTGAAATATATAATTATTTCTCCCTCATGAGGATCATCTATTTTTGAAACACTTTTTCTACTGTCTATTCAATGTATCTACCTTTGAGGACCACTTGTAATTTTCTGACATGCTGATGTTTTCTGACATACTTTCTTAAAGACTGTAAATCTGAGTAATGCTTATAGATATTGAATTCTTTGTATCATAGTTCTCCCGTTAATTAGATTACTAAAAAAATGAGAAGTGTCAATGAACCCAGAAAATACCTTTAGAGAAGGAACAGAGTAGGTTAAGTTGAGCCAGTAACCACAGCATGTGAAAAGTTAAAAAGTGTAAATTGTAAACATACCTTTTCTTGCTCATTTAGTGGTTTAACAAACCCTTTTGGTCCAGATTCTTTTCACCTGAAGTATGAAATTATGGGAATAGTCACTCTCAGTTTTCTTTATAGTCAGTGCAGAAAAATGAGCACCCCCTAAGATTTATTTTGATCATACTGGTCACAATAAAGAGATTTTCTTCTCCCTACTTCCCACCCAGGGTTTTTAGTCTAATGGGCCTCCTAATATACACATCTCCACTAAAACCCTAAAGTGGGATGAATCTAGAGCAAAATTTATCAGTATATCTGATATATGTTGATATATAGAAATATATCTATATCATCAGTATATCTATATCACATATCTATGAGTGATGAAATGCATGTACCAAGCTTTGCTTAGCAGATGTTGTTACATAAAAATATCAGTAATTAAATACTATGGTCCTGGCTCTATACAATGTAACGTGGTAAAAGAGTGGGGTCTTTGTAAGACATGTATAAAACAAATACAACTACAACAGAGCCCTGATTATCTGGATTTCTTCAGGAATATGAGACAGCTTTGCATGAATTAGACAGATTATCATGTCAGACAACCTGGCGGGCATTGAAGCCTGAGCCAAGAAGAAGGTAAATATCTCACTGATAGATTAAAATTAACACTTTCATCACTCTTTCCTCTTGTAGGACAACTTTCGGCTATGGATGTAGCAGTGCTTTTTCATCTGAACTTTACTTTTTGTAAATATTTATTTCCTTCTAGATGAGACCAAGAAAGCATTTAGTGATAGTAATAGCAATAGCAATTATAATAAGACAACAACAACAATAATTATCCTGTAATAATTAATAATTATTATTATATCATTGCAGTAAATATGCTGAAGTCTGACACTTCAAGGGTTTGCCTCATCTTTTGCTAACAGATATGAAATTTTATTACATTTCGTTGCTGTCATTCTTCTATGATTGAATTCAAGTTGCCAAATGCTAGAACTCAGCAACTGTCTTTTCAGTGATGCCATACAGTCACTGATAGGAGAGTTAGTTGAAGAAAGAAGAATGTAGCCACTGATTGCTATCCTTACAGAGAAAATACAAATACAGTAAGAGACAGGAAGTTAAACAGGGATGAAAACTTCCTGAAGATAAGGACAATGGTACATTATAGTATAGACCACTAAGGAGTGTTGTAGAATTTAGAGGTTTTTCAATTATGTTTGACAGATATTTCTTAGGAACAGTTTTAGTAGAATTAATCTTGCTTTTGAAACAAGATGACCTCCAAAGGTTTATTCATACCTAATTTGCTATGGACATGATAATAACAAGATTTCCCCCTGACTTGTTGTAGATTATGTTTTAAGATTACGTCCACTGCAATATTGTGGTATGCCTAATCCAAAAACAGTCAAAAGAAAGAGAATTGTTTTTACTCTAATACCAATGGGCTTCTATAAGGCAGTAAACAGTTATATTTATTGTCATATATTTAGAATGGCAATGACTTGAGTCACTGAGTCCTGACCTCTACAGGAAATCGTGAATAACCTTATTAATTCATATGTCAAAATCCTGCCATAATAATAGCTTGCTTTTAACAACTTCCTGTACCCCACTAAAGAAAAACATGACTTGCATGAAGTAGGTATCACAGCAGCCAGTGGGGTTCCATACAGGGTTCTGCAGCACTCCGGAGGGACATGCATGTATTTAAGAACAGGTAATACAGCTCACCCTTGAGCTATATACATCTACTGATTTCAAATGCACACAGTTTCAAGGCGAGGTTGGATGAGGCTTCGAGCAACCTGGTCTGGTGGAAGGTGTCTCTGCTCATGGCAGGGGGGGTTGGAACTAGATGATCTTTAAGGTCCTTTCCAACCCAGACCATTCTATGATTCTATGATTCAGTTAGAGGGGACTAAGACTCAGATGTTTTCTAACAAGAGCCGTAAGTCTTTGGTTTCACCAGGAGGCAAATTAGCCTTGTGGTTCTTTACATCAAGGGCATTCTTACAGTTATAAAATTAGAATAAAGTTCTGATCCTGAAGGTCTTTTAAAAAGACGGAGTGTTTCTCATGGCACTCTGCCCTGCAAAGAAGTGCTGTACACCTCATAAACTTGCAGACAGTACCATTAACTATCTGTTGTCACAGAGGACTGCACAGACAACCTAGAAAATATTGCTACATTGCAGAGATGACTGAACTGATGAAAGAAAAAACAAGAGAGTTCCAAGTTCAATATTCATTAGAATTTAATTATAAGAAATTGGGCCTCATTAAACAAACTCTCTAACACTGTTGGAAAGAAAGACAGGGGAACTAGCTTGTACATACCAGGTTGATGAAATGACCTAGTATAAACATCCAGATTAGATTAATATATGTAACAGGAGACTCCATCTGCTTTAGCTGTCAAAATATGAAAACATTAATGATTTTTTTCCTGTGTTCTAGGACCATGATGTATTTCAACTTAACACTGCTGTTTTGTTTATATTTAATACAGTTGGTTTGAAATACCATTAAAATGAATGCAGATCATAACAGCAAAAGACAATATTACATTCTCAAAACCATTTTAACATGAATTAATTTTCATTCATTTCTATTCTAAGCATCACAGTTGCAGTTCTGGACCCACACTATGCTTTGGCACAAGCCAATTCTTCCTGACACCATGGGATTTTGTCCCATATCTAAAAGAATAACGCTGTCCATAGCAACATAACAGAAAAAAACCTGCTTGCAGACAAGTGCACACATGCAGTCTGATTTTATGCTCCCAGTTTAATAATTTTCTCTATGGTTTATAGCAAAGTATAAATATTTTGAGAGGATAATTCTTAAGAGTCCAACATCAGTCCCCTGAAACTCCTGGAGGAGCTCATCTTTACCCTTTGGCAACAAGAGAGCATAGGAAAGCTGTTCAGATGCTTAATGTCTGTAGCATGGATAACTGCCCCTTTCCATTTCATCTCCACAGTATGTCTTCTTACTGTCTGTTTAGTCTTTGGTGCCAGTCAGGGATCTGGGATGGAGAGCATCAGGTCAGCCACTTCCATCCCTGAACCCAGACAGGCATCCACACAAGCACTTAGTTCCCAGTGCACAATATAGCCCTGATTTTGTTTTCTTTCTTCACAGCTATGGTGTGATTTTGACAAACCAGTAGCGCTGAAGAACCAGACATTCAATTCATCTGCATCTTTTACGGACATCTGTTCCTATCCTGAGGTATTTCTGAGGGAACTTTTGAATCTAAGGCACAGATCCACAAAGGTTACGTGGCAACCACTACCTGGAATCAATGACCTGTGGTCTGTTGGTGGAGTCAGGTGCCACAACAACACTGTGAAGCTGAACCTTTGCATCTATCCATATGCTGATAGAAAAAGCAGAGGCAGGTTACAGAAGGAATTAATCTTATGGTCTAACGGGGCATTGCAACCAAGTTTCAACCTTTGAACTTCATACAGAACCTGTGTGCTGGAAACACATCCAGCAGTGATTCAATGAACCTAGTGCAATTAAAAACCACTATTTAATTCAGATGAAGCTAATGGAGACTAATACTTCTTACACAGCAAAACCAGCAGCCATTCTGCTGTAGTTATTTTAAATGTACATTTGGAGAAAAAAAAATCTTTTATGAGCAAGCAGGCAACAAAAACAATGGGTCAGTCACTTGCAGATAAAAGAAGTAGGTTGCTTAGAAAGTCACATGGCAGCATCACGATACTGCCAGCAGTATGTTTCAAATTGTAGGTATGCAGAATTTCCTACAGAGGAAATGTACTACAGAAAAACTGTACTCAGAAAAATTAATTCTCTTTCTCCTAAAACTGTATGATAGGAGTTAATTTAAACTACATTTGAGCTGTGGGTGTTGATGTTGCTATTTTAAATCTGAATGGCTCATGGCCATGATTGTCTCTCTACATCCAGCATCAGCTGTGTGAATTTCATTTGACATATGATCAATCATTGAGAAAAATAAGACAATAAAGAGATATAAAATGAAATATGAATAAAACTTCTAGGCATTACATTTTAAGAGAGCAATGTAACTAAGATGGACCTGCAATATTAAAAATAAAAATGTTAAAAATAATAAAAAAAAAGAAACACCAAAAGCTATGGCTTTAACCTCTCTTCAAGTAGCATGGGAAAAGGATTAAAGCAGGAATATGATTCTCACATCCTGGTTAATATGGGTCTTGTGGGAGTTCAGAATCCAAAGGAATATAAATTATTTCTTCTCAGTTTACTTTTATTTAGAAAAATACTACATGCAGTACTTCACCCATTCCTTTTTTCACTATACAGGATGCCCTTTCCCTTCTAACACCATGAAATGCCATAGACACTCAGAAGAGGATTTCTGCTAACATAGAGGTGCCATGCAAAATAGAGAGTTTGTAATTTCACATTCTATTTTAGCAAAACCCTGTACACTAAGAAGACTTAACTGAGCACTGAAGTACAGCACAATTTGATCATTTTATAGATACTTATGGAGTGAATATGTAGTCACTGATCATTGAAAGTAACCACTGCTGTTTTTTACTCAGTATTTTGTCTTCACTGGTGTGCTGGCAATGGTGACTTGTGCAGTCTTTCTTCGCCTCAACTCTGTCCTGAAGCTGGCAGTACTTCTCATCATGATTGCGATCTATTCTCTGCTGACTGAGACCATTTATGCTTCCCTTTTTCTGCAATATGACAACTTTAACCACAATGGAGAGTAAGTGTTCACAGCTCCCTTTAGGAACTGCATTTAATAAGGTAATGGGTCAAGTCTCACCAGAGTATATGCATATTGGATAGCACCATAACTAAGTATGGAGTGGAAAAAAAAAAAAAAAAAAAAAAAAAGAGAGAGTGATTCTTTATCAGGCCTGTTAATTTCATCAGAATATTTAAATATTAAGCAGGGTTTATCTCCTATGTCTCCCATAGTCTATTCATGGTGCTAAAAATACAAATTGCAATGCATGTACGTTGGTTGTTTCTATTCTTGAGAACTCCAGAGATACTGACTGAAACTAAACTCAATTTAAGAAAATAAGAGTGAATAGTTATTCTGGGGGGCACGGTTCTAACTGTATGAATTTTGAACTATACCATGTAGTTGTGAAAGATATAAAAAATACAGGGATGATCCTATTTTGTAGGAGGACATTTGAAGGAGAGACTCCTCCTCCCAGTCTTCCTTCCCAGTAAAAAGAGTTGAAGAGGAGGATAGAAAAGCTACAGTAATTTGCAGAGTCAGAGGTTCATCAAGTGTTGCAATAACTGAATGTAGAGAAGCATTAATTTAGCTCATTCAGAAAAACATTTCTTCAGTCTTTGATATTTCAGCAATTTAGTATTGCAGTTTCTTGTGCTTGTAAGTTTGTGCCAGATGAAGTTCCTCAGGATGACAGAAAAGCGTGGATTTGCAGTGCAGTTAGTTCTCACAGCAGTCAGGTCTTCACACATAGTAAGGGTCTGCATGCTTTGCTTGCTAGCTTCCTATAGTAGCAAGGTAATAAAGATTTGGGATGCAATTCCTTTTTCTAATGCTAGTTATGCTCCTATAGACTAATGATATGACCTATAGCATATTCACAGCAGAGCCCAGCAAACATGACAAATGGCAGTAAGTAGTACTTTGTCTAAGTAAATAGAAGTGAAAATGATGATAATTGTCTTTATAATTTTTGTCACTAATCAAGAATGGCAAAGAAAGATTCTTCCTTATGTGAAAATCTTAGAGAATTCAGAGTAGTTTCTATTCCCTGTGTCAATGAAATTCTCCAGTGACTGTTATCACAGAAGAGTAAGAAAGAGCCAGGAGTATCCTCTAGACTAACCAACAGCCCAGGTCATAAGGAACTCAGCTAAGATGCTCTGCACTCTGGATAAGGACATGAATTTCAGCTCTGACATTAAGGAGCATGAGGTTCAAGGCTGTGTGCCCAGAAAATTATGTTTTCTTAGCTATATCAATTAGTTGAATAAAAGCTTTTGCAACTGCCTACGAAGCTCATCTATGTCATATATTTACAGCTCTAGCTACATTACCACAATATGCAATAACAGATGAGTTCATAACTAAGACCTTTGAGGCTGTTGTCCTTAGCCAGTGTAGGTCTTTCTGAAATAAAATCTTTGGGAGGTTGTACTTCAGATAAGTTCAAAATGGGAAAAATTTGAATTTTAAAATATTGAAAGATGACAAAGATATTTCTTACTTGTCTTTTGCTCAATACTATGACTTATCCCATAGTGGTACATTTCTTCACAGTAAAGTCTTCTTTAGACTCTCCAAGTCAGTTCAGTTAGCACTCTCAGAAAATTTCCTTTTGGGTTAGTCTCCATCAAGCTCTGCTCTGTTTTTAATTTCTCTGACACAGGAGTCTTCCTCTCACAAATATCACCTGATCTTTTTTCAAAATTACTATGGAAAATGGATTCAGGTTCTAGACTTTGTTTTATTCTTAGATATAATTACACTGATGTTCTCTTAAACTAATTCTTGCTAAGTTAAATTTTCAAATACAGAGGATTTTTTAAAGAACAACAAAAAGTACCAGAGTGCATTATAAAATTAAACTTCTGAACAATTACAACAGTAAGAAGTCAATAATTCTATTTTACCTCTGATTTTTTTTCCAGCACAGACTTCCTGGGTACAAAGGAGGCATCTTTACTACTGATGGCAATGTTCCTTTTAGCCGTATTTTATCATGGTCAGCAGGTAATGCAAACATTTGTTTTAACCATTCCCTATATCACTTGTAGTTGCAGGATGTGACAAAAGTTACTTTCAAAATACCAACTGCCTTTTTATCCACTTGAACATATGACCTTTAACAATTGAATAAATCATATGTAGAATCTGATTAAAGAAAACCCACATCTGACACTGCCTAGCATTCTTAAAAACATGTGCAATATTAAATTCAGCAATACACAATATTGCATTTTCTAATAGAAATTGAAGGGACAAACGAGACTCAGTTTGTCTTAGGTACATGTACAATTCCAGTGGCATCTGACTGCTTCAGTGCACTTGATTAGTCATAAAACTAAAAGGAAGAAAGTGAATAACAAATAGTAAATAATAAAACTCCTGTGAAATAGTGGAAAAACACCAGATTTGAGGAAATTAGGAAAATTTGCAATTAAGCACCAAAACTAAATTTTTGGGGTCATGGAACACTTGCAAGAATTGCTTCACATGGACCTAGATCCTAACCAGGATTTTGGAGTCTCAAAGCTTTAGGATTTATATCCTTGAGGAGGAACTGAGAAACCAGGTATTTCGAGTATCCACACACAGTGCACAGGGAGAGTGAAGCATGACAAATACAGATTTAAAACAAAAAATACATTGAATAAAAGCCACCTACATCAGGGTTTTTTCTCCACAGCACTTCTGGTTGGCAACCTCTAGATTGAAGTCTAGAGGTTATTCTAGTAATATTCTTCTGTTTTGTCTTTTTTTTAAGGAAATGAGGAAAGAGTAGGGGAAGCAAGGGAAGAAAAGTACTTTGTGCCTAGATTTAAGTTTGACAGAAAACAATGTACTTTGACATCCCTTTATCAAAGCCCATTTAGGAAAAAGATGCAACAAACATTAATTTAACATTCCAAATTTGTGATAAGCCTTATAATATGCCCGATGATTCTTAACATACACAAAGATACAAATCAAAGGGTTGGGAATCGTCTAAAGTGAGAGCAAGTACTAAGAAAGAAAACAGTACAGGTGTTTAGGTAGAGCAAGGATTAGGCAGAATCCAGGTAATGCTCTTCAGGATCACAGTTCTGAGTATAAATATCTGTCTTCTACTTAAGCCTGATCTGGAATGTTTAACAGAGGCCTGTTAGCACAGCACAGTCTTTTTCCATCCTATTAATCTTTCTTGTTCTGTAAAACAGCACGGCGGCACTAAAACTACCCTTGGAAATAATCCCTGAGATGTGCTAACTCCTGCACATTCTTCTAAAAAATTCATAGGGCCTCATATTTAACAATATTCATATTTAACAATATCTAACAACAGTGCCCAGGAATATTTCTTTGTATTTTTTAATTTCCTATTACAGAGTTAACCTAAAGGTCTCTCTATAAATAAAAATTAAAAATATATATTAAAATTTTGTCCAGAGCACATTAAAAAAAATCACTTCAGTAACCTGAATTGATGGGAAGCACAGTAAATCCAATAAAGATGTCCTCCAGCACAGCTTTGCTTCTCATAGACTGAAAAAGTATTCTGAAGCAGACTAGTTTAAAACTTGACTCATTCTAGGTGGATTTACAAAAAAAAAAAAAAAAAAGACATCTGTCAGGTCAAGTTTATGGACTTTTACTTTCTGAACAACTAACTACCATCCTTTATCCATTGCAGTTTAAAGTTAACCCCCACTTTCTCACCTAGAATTTTCAGTTTCATTCAAGAAAAAGTTTTGTAATACTGTCTGTTCAGACTCAGAGATTTTTTAAAGTTAAACATAAAATCATTTTGGTCAGAAAAGACCTTTAAGACCTATACTTCAGAAAATAAATCTCAAGGGTCTGTGGTGCTAAAGCCATAATTAAAAGTAGCTGTGTTAATATTGCATGACATTAGGCTAAATAGACTAATTTCCTATTAGAAATTCAATTTCATCTAGAAGCACATCTTTTTAACACAGGTAATACATACTTTACCACAGTGTTTCTGCAAACTGAACTTGAGAAAAAGCATGACAGAAGTGTTGCAGGTAATTTTGAACTTATTCTGTTGTAAAGTATGTCCATTTACTGTTTTATGTTTTTAAACAAGTAGAACATTTTGTATGAACATGAACTATCCCTTAAAACCTGATCAAAATACAATAACATATACTGTCTTCTTTTCTAAATAGATCTCTAATGAAAACACACAATATAAATAGCCTATTAACCCTGAGTGAAACCTTCTGCTATGGCTTTAAAAGGGAACGTTTTAACAATAGCAAAGAGGGAATAAAACTGCTCACAGCAGACTCAGTCCCTCCTCTCTCTCCAACCCAATTAGACCTAAAAAGAGGCCTTATAAAACAAAGAGCAAAATCTCTGGTTTCTTTTAGATTGTAGATCTGAGTATAGATCTTGCCTACACCAAGCAAGTGTTGACTGACTGACTGGTTTGCTCCTCTGGTTCTGGGTGTCTTTGATACAAAGAGAGACTTGAACTTCAAGAGGGAAGGCACAGACAGCTATGTACCTAATAACGTCTGGATGTCAGGGCTGTAGCTTAGCTCTACAAAGCCTTGTGGGAAGGAAGGAAGGAAGGAAGGACTGACAACCCTACACAGCAGTTTATCTGCAAGCATGACCCCCTGAATGTTCTTCGTGCTTGAGTAAAACAGGAGGAATGAGGAAATGTGAAGAGAAGATTGTTCCAATTGAAAGAGAATAAGAGACATAACTAATTCTGCTATTACCCTTCAGGCCTCTTCATTATCCTCTCTATATTCAGATTTTAGTGTGGTGAAGAAACGACATTGCTTGTTTTGTCTGAAGTTAGACTGTTTTCAGTGGTTGAAACTGTCCCTTTTGGATGTAAATCTTCTTTCTCAAATCTTCTGCCCCTCAAATGCTGATCCTTACCTTTTGCTTTCCTTGCACGTGACAATTGTCTGCAGAGAGGTTGAGTTGTGCAGCATTTAGAGGATGAAAGTAATGTTAGTGTTGGGTTTTCTGTGTAATACATCCTCTCTATTTTCTTTACTCAGTATTGGAACTAGCGGTGTTTTGTAGAGCTACATATCAGGGCAAGAAAACCTGGACATTTCAAGATTTATGTTGCAGACAGTCATTTTTATTGGCCCCTCTGTGTCCAGGAACATTTATTTACACAATCGAAAAACTAACCCAAAACTCAATCCTATAATTTTGTTAGTTTTAACAAATATCAGAACTTAGTAAAGCATCTTCTTAAAATTTCTATTTTCAAATGTTATATGTAGCACACCCTTTTATCTCTGAACTGACAGTGTCATCTCAGTTGTCCACTGATCATGGAAGAAAAATCTTTAATGTTACAATCTGATTATAAATAACCAGAATGGCCTTATCTAAAATATAAAGATTAGCTGCTGCTATTCTGAGTTCGGTTTAAAGATGTGAAATTTTCCTGTACAGCAGCAGGAAAAATTAACTGTGAAAAACTGTACTACAGTTTTTCGCAAAGCTCTTATTGTAATGGCATTAAATATCTGAAGCATCAAAGAACTCAGAATCCACCAGTAGCTCCTCCTCCAAGCCAATCTGTAAAATATCTTTAGAACTCTTTAGAATTTTAGTCAATGTTGCCTTCTTAATCAGCTAGTAGAGATAAAATTCAGTTATGACCTGGTATAGGCTCTGTCTTCTAGCTCAAAAAGAAGAGAGAAAGAAGGTGAACGGTGTCGAAAAAAGATTTTAAAATACCTTCTCCTGATAGTTTTTTTGGTGCAATTATTTTAGGGAATTAATAGTCAAAAGGTGGAAGATCAAAATATTAGAACTAGAAAAAAAGATTAATTGTTTATAAAGGTGGCTATAGCATCCAGAGGGCAAGTAAATCGCTGTCAAAATGTATACATGCTTCAGAAGTTTATATGAGGTCAGGCTCACTTTTAGCTTTTAGGAAGGAGAGCTCCCTCCCTGGAGTACAGCGAACCTATCAGTCCCCTTGCAAGGTACTTTGCATTTTCTTCTGAACAGTTTGCCATCGGTCATGGCTGCTGACGAGGTATGGACAAGGCGAGTCACTAAACAATGCCTGAACCCTCTCTTAGTCACTCCCACCCTCTGCAGCCTTGACCTTTACTTCAATTTGGTAGGTGATTTAAACCACCAACCCTTTCATTAATCCCAGCACCTTTTGGCAATTCATTTGATGTCTTTCCTAATTGTGAAAAACATTTATTTGCTGGTATAATATGTTTCTCTGCTGCACGTTTGATTATTAGCTCTAGTTAGAGTATCTCAAGCCTCACAATATATTTTCTCTTTTAGCTTACTGCATTAAGATATATTTCTGTTATTTCCAATAAGTCTGTAGCTTAGTAAGTCACCCCTTCTGCAAGCAGGGTATTACCTGCCTTAAAATCTGATTAAAACTCTCCATCAGTGTAAGGCACTCAAAAGTTCTGGCAGTGTTGGTCTTGTCCATGTGCTGACACACATGCCTCTCCGGCAAACAACATGATGTTTTGACATGTTCCCCTCTTCAGTTAGCAGAGAGCTTCCATTTATGTATATATGAATATTTATTTACATTTATACACATAAAAATATACTCTCTCTCTCTCTCTATATATATATATATATAATATAATATGCATATATAAGCTGTGCTGTGCAGGAATCTTCCTTTTCTTATGTACGCATACAGCACTGAAAATCTTTTAACTTTAGTTTGTAACTGATGTATCAGGCACTGCCACTGTGCACATCCTAAATTGTGACTGCAAACTCTGGATCCAAAATGCATCAGGGACAGTATTCGAGGGGGTATCAAATAGTATGTCTTTCACTATCTTTAAAATACTTAAATTGCAAATCACTGCTTGTCCCAACAGTAGAAATAACTCATTTTAGTGCCACAGATTTTAAAGTCTGCTTTGGGGCCGTGTTAGGCTCTTTTATGTAGTTTTGCTGAAAGACAGTCATCCTTGAGAAGTAAACTAGCTGTCTCTGCAAAGTGTTTAGAATGACCCTTGTGCTATTTTCTCATTAGACCCATTTCATTTGGAAACACATATGAAAAGGGGAACATATTTATTTCATACCAATATATTCCAATATCTTATCTCCTGTCTGACTCCATTATTTAATAAAGAGGTGTTTAAAAGGAGAATAATTTAGTGACATTTTCTAGCCACTGACCATAGTGGTAATATGACAAATATTATTTTGCCCAAGATTCCTCTGAGAGACTCACTATACACAGCCAAAGGAATAATCAATTTTTCTGGCAATGAGATAAAATTCTTTCAGAGTCAAAGATCTTTGGCAACACTGAAGGCGGTAACATGATAGGAGCAGCCTGCCAGGATGACAATATAATGTCTACTCTTATCTTGTCAGGTTTTATTTTTGCCTTTTTTTATTTTCTGGAACTACAGCTTGAATACACAGCAAGGCTGGATTTTCTGTGGCGTGTTCAAGCAAAAGAAGAAATCAATGAAATGAAGGAGTTAAGGGAGCACAATGAAAATATGCTACGGAATATTTTACCCAGTCATGTTGCCCGTCACTTTCTGGAGAAGGATCGGGATAATGAAGTATGTATCAGTTTTATTTCTGATACTTTTGTCTAATTAGCAAAAGAAAAACAGTTCTCTATAAGATTCATTACACAATACTACCAATATTTGGTATCTGATACACATTTGAAAAAAAAACCAAACAAACCCAACCATGTTTTAAAGTAAAGGGTTCTGCATTTCTAAGACCACATCTGGAGTCTTTTTTCCAGGTTGAAGCTCATCAGTATGAGACACATGGGCCTCCTAGGGCAAGTCTAATAGAGGGCCATCAAGATGATTAGAAGCACATGACATACAAGAGGCTGAGAGATCTGGGTTCATTCAACCTTAAGAGAAAAAGGCTGAAAGAGGTTGTCATCATTGTCTTCAACTACTTAATGGGTGTTTATAGAGAAGACAGAGCCAAACTCTTCTTTGTGCATGTGAAAGGGCAATAGGCAATGACTCAAGTTGCAGGAAGAAAAATCGCAGTTAGGTACAAGGAAAAAAAATCCCTGGGAACTGGTCATTGCCTTGGGGCTCAGAAAGGTTATGAAATCTCCAATCTTGGAGATATTCAACCCTCAACTGAACAAGGCCATGAGAGACTTGACCTAGATGGCCCTGCTTTGAGTGGGAACTGTATTAGATGACCTTTAGTGGTCCCTTCCAACCTATGATTCTATGAAAATCTAGTATTCCTAAAAAAGAAAAATTAATTTAACAGAATGCCTGTACAACCTTAAGATAGCCCAGTGCTGCAGAAGTATTACAGCCCTGCCAGTTATTATGGAAGGATTCTGTGCAACAAGCTGCAACAGAACTGAGCCACTCACATTTTCAGACACAGAAGAACATTTTTACCATTTCATATTGCCCCTGCATTGCCTCTTTAGGGCAATGAACTAAATACCCATGTCAGAAACATAGTTTGTGGCTGTGTTCATAAAAGAGTGTAGTACACAAAGAAAAGCTTGATAATGGAGTCTCTCGTTATTCCTAAGAAAGAGTTTAAAGAGATCTTGCTGAAGGGATAAAGTCCAGCATTTGTTTCTGGAAACAGTAGTAAGTCACTTATTCCTTATCCAAAATAAGACAAATGTATATTATATTATTATCTGTGAATAAAGGCTGTTGTATGATGAAACTGGAATTTTCTTATGTAATTTTGGAATTATCTTTTCTAATGAAGGGGTGACAAATTTTGCAAGATTCAGGTTGCCAACACTGATATATCTATTCATTATGCAGCAAAAAAGAATCAAGGCTACCCTTTTCTGATTGTACATTTTGGAAATAGATGTAGCCAGATGAATTAGACTGCACAATGAGGAATTATTGTGTACTGAAGATGTGATTTCAAATATCACCAAGGGAAGGACAACATAGTGAGAACCTACAAGAAAGACACTTTAGAAATTAGCCTCTTGAGGAATTTTACACTCTGTGGGTATTAAACTGCTGTAAAAACACTGCTCTCCACATAAGAAAATGTGTGTGTGAAAGCTTTAAATTTAAATTTAAATTAACTTAAAAAACAGGTTAAAATGCTTCATTGCAAATGGAGCAATCCCAATACCAGCCATGAGTATGTTCTTGCATATCTGCATTATGGATTTTTAGGGAATACATGTCCTCTCTTACACATTCATTCACATATATTCACATGCATAATAATCTTCAAAAGCAAACAGATGCCCTATGGATCACTGCTGATGCTTCAATAGTTTGCCACTGAATTCAATTCCATCACCTCTGCTTTTTGTAAGGCAATTTCCAGAGTGACTATACTTGGGGATGATTTATGCGTGAGCCATCTGGCTGTAACATCTACCAGATTTCAGTACAATCAATCCTGCAGTTCATGTCTGGCCATTAAGTTAATTCCTCTGCTCTCAAATAATGAATTCCCAAATGCGTACTGTAAGCATTTTCTCATGGATGTATTATTTCTGTCTTGATACTTCTTACCTAAAATAGAAAAACTGTGCAGCAGCTGCAGGCTCAGACACTTGTTTTCTGTCTTCATGATCTGAGGAAAGATTATGCCTGAGTATACATACGCTTCTTCTAGCACGCATTGTCTAGTTTTCCATAACCATCCACAAACTAACAGGTGTATTACTTTTTTCAATACCTATGAAAGGAAATAAAAGCGTCCTTAGAGTATGGCTTCCATGACCTTGCAGATGTTCTTCAGTGAAAGAAAGTGTAAGGACAGGAAGGGAATCAATCATCTTTTTTCTCAATTCAAGCTTTACAGTGTCCTTGGAAACTAGCAGAATTTTCTCACTTTTACTGTAGGACGCATTGTTAAATAGTCCAATAAGTGTAGCATTAGCAGCACAGCAAAGTGCAGGGCAGGGGCTCAAGCTGCATTTCTAGGGAGAAGCAGGATGAAGGAAGAAGAGGAGCCTGAGGTGTACACCTTTGGTGTATGGCATCCAGCAGTAAGTCCTTTTATCATGAGAGCAAAGCACTAAAATTTCCTAAAGCACACTAACAAGAACATTGAGAAGCAAGTAGTCCAGGTCAGAATGTCATAAAAGAAATCCTAGAAGCTAGAAAATAAATGAGCAAAAGAGAATGCATGTGACTGTGGTATATTAGCCACCAGAAAAGCATACCAGCAGGTGCTGGGGGGCTACGTCCTTGGCAATTTTTTAAAATGAAATTAGTTTTGTTCCTAAAGATTTGTTTGGGTTCAGAGAAGAATTTGCCACATTTTCACCTATATAATGACAGGAACCCATCCATAAATAAATCTGTCATTCAGTACCAGAGTGAATTATAACTACGTAAGTGGAAGTTTATTCTCTGTCCAATCCATTATAAGCTGGTTTCTGTCTCCAGTAACTCCATTATCACCCTCACTTCTCTTTCTCCCTCCTTCCAAACCCTAATAGCAGAAACCTCTCCCAGAGCCAGGCAACTAAATGGCTCCACAGCCACTTTAGGAGAATCACAGTTTACTATAGAGTAAGGGCTCTATGCAAACCTGCAAATAAACAAGGTGGTAAAGAGCTGCAGTAGTGTGAAGTATAAATTATCCACTTTAAAATGTGCTGAGAGGACTCCTTACAAAGAGGTCATATTAGACATGGTGACAGAGGGTGACAGAGCGCTGGAACAGACTACCCAGAGAGGTTGTGGAGTCTCCTTCTCATGAACCTGCTTTGGCAGGGGGGTTGGAATAGATGATCTCCAGAGGTCCCTTCCAAGCCCTACCATTCTGTGATTCTGTGACATTTCAAATGATCCTATCTGATCCCTGTTAATTAACAGAACTGTACTGTCAACTGCAAACATTTATTACCTAGAGTTAAACAGCAATAAATAACAAACATTAAGTTCCTTTTATGTTCCTAACAGGTTTTGATTCTCTGGTATTCATACTTGTAAATGAATCTTTAATTTCTTCAAATGGTTCTACATATAAATCAAAATGAAACATCGTATTTCATTTTTTCTGACGTAGCCCTCTGACCTCAGAAGCAGAAAGAGCAGGCTTTCAAAGAAAGGTCAAACCCTGCATATAATCCACAATAAAATGTGAGAACTTTCAGCCTCCTCTTGTTGAACTTGGCTAACACTTAATATACGAATGCTAACCTCAGATACTTAGATATTATGCATGGAAAAAAAAAGAAACCTATTTTGTTTGCAGCAAATTACATTCTCTTCCCTATATTACTACTTCAACTCATTTTTCATCATTGTTCTTTTAGGAATTATACTCTCAGTCCTATGATGCTGTTGGTGTGATGTTTGCTTCTATTCCTGGATTTGCTGACTTTTATTCTCAGACCGAGATGAATAACCAAGGAGTAGAGTGTCTGCGCTTGCTGAATGAAATCATTGCAGACTTTGATGAGGTAATATCAGCTAAAGGAGAAAAACTGATAGTGCTTAAATAATGAGTTCCCAAATACCAAACATGTCATCCTAAATTATCTACTTTAGTAATTATTCTGCTTCCAACAATTGCCTGATTTTTTTACTCTGATTACAATTGTCTATTTTGCTTTTTTGCACTTAGACTTGCAGACATTGATCTGAATGACATAGTGAGAAAGAGACTGAAGTTAATAGTTTCTTGAGTATAAACAAGTATAAATAAAAGCACAGTCTGCTTCAGTGTATCTAGAAGTAGAACATGACTTAATTCTGTAGAAAAAAGGATAAAGATACTTGCAATAGTTCTGGAAAGTAGCGGTTTAAATCCCAGCAGATAAAGATACTGTTTTGAAGACATTGGTTGGATGGACTCAATGAACGCTAAGGGTAAAACAGTGTCAAGCAAACACAGCACAGAATCAAATATTGGGTAGATAATGAAAGGTCACATATTAACTGAGGAGACCTGTCTGGTCAGGTATGTTATAGAGAGGTAAATGAAGTAAAGCTGCTTGCTTTACTGAAGAATTCAGAGATGAAGCTATTTTTATTCATATATTTATTTATTTTCATTGGAAAGGACATAGAAAGGAAAATAAATTCTTTAAGTATCTTGTCCAATTAAACTGAAGAATTCAGAGATTAAGCTATTTTTATTTATATATTTATTTATTTTCAGTGGAAAGGACATAGAAAGGAAAAATAAATTCTTTAAGTATCTTGTCCAATTAATTTCAGAAATGGAGCTGAGGGGGGGATAATGTAAACAGGTGAAGAAAAGTCAGATCACCAATGTGGCTATTGCCAGGTGGAAGCAAGGACAACCTGGAAAGTGAAGACGAAGTCAGGAGCAAGTTGCATACTTGGTATCCTATGATCTGACAACAGTGTCCTGCAATGAGCCCAAGAGGAATTAAGAAAGGTGACAAAGGATAGACCAACAAAGAGCTTTGAAAAAACTTTAAAATTAGGTAGGGTGCAAAAGTAAGGCCAGAATTACCTAGCATGGGGAATTTTAACCTACACACTACCAGTAGTTTTCAGGAGTACGTAGCCCTCCTGAGCTCCCTGAGTGGTAGAAGCAGTATGTAACCTATCTCTGCTTAACAGGGAGATTGGATCTGTGTGCCAGACTGGAATGATCCAGATGGAAAAGGGGAGAGGAAAAGGGGATATGGTGGTGGTATCATTGGTCTGTGACTCTTTTTGAGAAGTTATTTAAAGAGAAAGTGTGAAAAAGGCATCCTTTTCAGAATTCTGATGAGCAAGGCAAAATTAGGACTAAACTGGACAGCAGGGGAGACAGCACATGGATAGCAAGAAATTGCTGATAAATAGTAAAAAATCCTACTCAAGAAACCCATGTTCTGTTTGATCTCTGTTTATCCCAAGGGATTTTTTAATTGATTTCTCTATTGTGGTAAATTATCAACTGGAGAAGTGATAAGTGTCTTGTCAGCTTAAAATTAAAAAGCTGTTCAAGAATACAGGAGGAGTTTGTTCAGTCAAAGGGGGCATCTGGACCTCACATCCCATATGAGCTATGTAACCATGGAGCAATTGCCTAAAACAGACAAGGGAAAAGCAGAGAGACCTCATCCTGGGTCTCTGCATAGGGACTGTTCATAGAGTGGTAGCTCATAAAAACTAGACCAGGGTTAAAATTAGCAAACTCAGAGAGACAACGAAATTGAGAGTTTATCCACATAACTAGTCAGATACTAAAATTACTATTGGGAAACAGAAGAATTCACAGGGGATGCATCCCTGTGCATTTTAGCAGGAAACAAAACTACTCTCCTATGAAAAGAGCTCTGTCACCTGCTAAGCTCCTGCACTGCTTTCCCTATAGATATAAAAACCTGCTTCTTATCTCTGAGATCTTGCACAGATGTCAGCTTCTTGATTAATAGTTTTGTTTTTCTTTCCAGATCTGATTAAAATGATTATAGCTCAAACTTAATGCAAAGCCTATTGCTATGAATTAATTTAAGATATTTTGTCATGCACGTTCATATAATCTTCACAACAAAACTCTGTTGCTGCTATGGAGACTATTGAAGACAAGGTTTTCATCAAAAACCCTAACACAATATTATATTCAGGCCCCTAACACCTGCTCTGTAATTAATAAAGGACCTAATTAGGGACTGTATTAAGTCCCAGACATGTTTAGTTGAATAATAGATATGTTCTTGGTGCGGGTAGTAAATGAAATTATGTTATGCCCTGCTGACTGCTAACCTACTTCCAGCATGGCCATGCCATTAGTTTATTCTGTCTAAGCAATCTGAAAGGTAATATGCTAGACAGAACAACTGACATGAGTAATCTGACCCATGGAAAAGGAACCAGGTGTAATTTCAGGTATGGTGTTTCACGGACAGTAATGTTTCCATATAAGTATTGACTGACACTACATGATGTCACTATTCTTTGTTTTTCATTATGTTTCTTGCCAAGATTGTCTGCTGCCTCAATATAGCCGTGGAAGCAAATGTGCAGTCTGAGAGCAGAGCAGATCTGTTAGCCATGGGAAAACTTAGCTCCTCAGCATCATGTGAGCACCTTTGTAGAGGTACCCAAACGCAGAAGTCTTAGCACAGGAGTGTAAGATATTGGTACCTGCTGCCATTTGAGATATCCTAGGTGATTTAAGACATCCACATGAGATTGTCAGGTCCCACACTGCACTGTCAGAAAACTCATGCTGTTTTGGAGCAAGCCATTGGAGGTTTTTCAGAGAAATATGCTCTAGATGACACTAGAGATCTATGTTTAGACGACTGAATTGAATTCCTAATCTCAGATCAAATTCTGCACTGAGTTCCCTCCTTTCCTTACACAGATAATAGTAGTAGGAATGCTGTGTCCATAGGGCCAGGAAGAGGTTTCTGAGTGAAAGCAGTGGCAAAAATACAAATTGAGCTGGTTTGGAAAATGTGATAGGTGCACGAGGACATCTGGGTTATTTCTTTCTTCTTTTTAGGGGATTTTCTTTGTTATTACAAACAGAAGGGTTACGTTCAAGAGCTGGTACTTTAATGGATCTATGTTAGACATTCAAAGCCAGACAAACAAAAAATAGAGAACGGTGTAAGAGAACCTGCCACTGACAACTGCACAGGGTAGGAGCCCACAGAGGAGTCAGGTTGTGACTGGGTCTTTCCTAAGGAGCAGGGGGAACCTGGTCCAAAAGTCAGTCTTGGGGAGGAGGGGACTGACTCTTCTCAAAGCACAGCCTTTACTCAGGATTTTTTTTTTTTTTCCTCATGGCTCACAGATCTGTCGATTTCCAAATCATCTAAGCTTCCTGTGGACTCAGGCAGAATGGGAGGTGTTGGTTTCTGGACTGACAAAAGGAGATTTTTTTTTTTTTTAATTTGATGTATATCATCATTATAGAATAGAGTTATATAAAAATTTCTATTTTCTACTCAAGTGCAGAGGTGCTGACAGGAACAGTTCATACATCAAAAAATAAACATGAACATTGCAAATCTACTTTTATAATTGCCCATTTTTTATATGACTGTAATCTTAAGACATATACAGGGCTAAACTCCCACTCTTAGAGATGTTGCACCAAAAAAATATTGGAACATTTCTCCTGAAGATTATGAGTCTTGAAGGAATTTATTTTTAATGTAATATTCTTTCTAGCCTTTTTAATCTATCATTTATATATCTTAGTGATGTTACAGTTGGGATTTGTGCTTTAATAAGAGCTTTCTAGTTCATGGGCTTTTTCCCCCCTCCATGTTCTTTATCCTGCACTGATTTACACGGTGTTTATGACAACAGATTTTCATATATTATGTTGCCACAAATAGAGGTTTCGGCAGAACACAGGATCCTGCTTTCAGACTTCACTGATTACTTTGCAACTGTGTGCCATGTCCTGGAACATTCTCTTCTCTTCTGTACTATTTTGTACATGTTTCATTGCACGTGTATATCCCAGGGTCTGACCTCCATGTAACCTTGGCTGTATATGAATTGTGGCATCAAGTCATTAGTTGCTTTTCAGATACCAACCACACTCCAGTGTTTGAAAATGTTCCCTGGACTATCTTGGTAAATTAGCAAGCCTATTTAAAATGTTGTAATAAATAGCAGCTGCTTTAGGACTGAGTTGGAATATCTTTCCCCAATATCAAAATATATCACCCTGTCATACTGTGAAGAAAGTAATTGGCAAATAAAACATTATTTGAAGAAGGAAAGAAGCTATCTAACAGACAGGATAAAGCAGGGAAAAAAAGAGAGATTTGGAAACAATAATGAATGAGAAGAAGAAAGATAACTTAAGATTGTTTCTTCTAAATTGCTTCACAGTCAATAGGTTCTTTCTTAAAAAGAGTAATTTTAGATATTTATCATACATTTTAAATTACTGTGCTGTGTGCTGTTGCTTCCAGCAACCATCTGGAAATGAAAATATAGGCTGTTTTTAACCAAGACCATTTTCTCCCCTTGCCCACACACCTGGTGCTCTCATATTGCTCACAAAAACAGAGCTACAAGAAATGATCTTTGTCTTTAAGAGAGCAGTTGGAAGAGCTGCCCTTGTAGGAGGGAAACATAGATAATGGGCTTTTCTGGCAGTTTGAGGGAAAATGAGAAACAGGTCAAGTTTTTGGACTTTCCTGACTTGGAAGGGAGCCATTAACCATATGGCTTTGTATTCCCTGTGTGCAATGGGAGGCTGTGTAGCCTCCCATTAGAGACAGATGGTGCGATATCTGTACACGAATAGCAAAGCTTCCAAGACCCCCGTGCTCTGGCTGACGTATGCTGTGGTTAGTTCAATGGCAGGGGATATTTCATGTTATGCCTTTGGTATGTTTCTCCCTTTGAATGAAATAATCTCTTTAGTTTTTAATTGACAGGAAACTCAAACCCACAAGATGGAAAAAGAATGCATGACTGTGACTAAAAGAAGGGGAAAATGCTTCATTAAATTTTTGCCTTACCACAGCAAGAATTTTTTTAATTCAAATCCCAACTAAGCTGAGCTTTTAGAACTGGAAGTTTGAAATTCCTTGTCTCTGTGAACTGTTTTTTTTTTCTTCCAGGACTGCCTAACAGTATTGATACTTAAAATCATTAAATACCATACTGCTTATTGTGAAGTTTCTAATATACCAAACACACATACTCCACATCTACTCTGCTTTTGTAAGACCCCACTTAGAGTATTGTGTCCAGTTCTGGAGTCCTCAGCACAGGAAAGACATGGACTTGTTGGAGCAAGTCCAGAGGAGGCCAAAAATATGATCAGAGGGACGAAACACCTCTTCTATGAAGAAAGGCTGAGAGAGTTCAGCCTGAAGAAGAGAAAGCTCAGAGGAGACCTTCTTGTTGCCTTTCAGTACTTAAAGGGGCCCTGTAAGAAAGATGGGGACAAACATTTTAGCAGGGCCTGTTGTGACAGAACAAGGGGTAATGGTTTTAAACTAAATGAGGGTAGATTTATTCTAGATATATAGAAGAATTTTTTTGCAATGAGGGTGGTGAAACACTGGCACAGGTTGCCCAGAGAGGTGGGAAAATCCCCATCCCTGGAAGCATTCAAGGTCAGGCTGGACGGGGCTCTGAGCAACCTAATCTAGTTGAAGATGTCTGTGTTCTCTGCAGGGGTGGGATTGGACTAGATGACTTTTAAAGGTCCCTTCCAACCCAACCCAAGCCATTCTAACATTCTATGATTTTTAAAGTCTGTGATGAGGTGAAAAGTGCCCATATCCTACATAAAGCTCTGTTGTCATTGACAGAGTTCATAATCTGAACTCTGCTTAAGTCTCTCAAGGAATCTAAGGCTCTGGCTTCTGTTTCATGGAAAGTCCTAAGTTAAACTATGAATATGGACTTGGAGTAAGGACCAAACTCTCGCTCCCACTCTGCTCAGTGCTTTAGTCACTAGATTAAATTTATTCTTCCTCTTGCAGATCCTCAGTCTGAGTTCTTTATACCTACTTAACACCTATATCTATCCCAAACAGATACAGGTGTTTACCACTTCCCATTGGTTCCCTGTATCTTTTGTAGAAGGGGAAAATACATAACAAAAGTGCAGGCTGAACGACTCAATGGACATAGCAGTGTTAGTTTTGACAGTAAGTAGAGGGAAGCATGGGTTACAAGAGGGCTTGATGTCTCATAGAAGTTCTTTTGAGACACCTAACTTCATTCATTGACTGTGTAAAATGGTTAAGATGGTAATTTTAAACAGACTGAATTCCCTTTAACACTGGTCTCGTCACCTGAATTGTTGCTATAGCAGCTCTTAATTTGTAAACCGATCTCCTCCAAAAGAGATTTAGGAACAATTTTAAGTTATCAAATCTACTTATATTCACACATACTGGTATGGAGAATTTATCTTCACCAGTTTTCAGTTATCTTCACCTCAGGAAACACAGGACTCATCTGTGTTTGAGTTAGGCTGGAATATGCATATCTTATATTGTCCATTATGTGATTTACCAAACAGCTTTACAGAGCACAGCAAGATTTAGCTTGAATGCACTCTGTGAACAGACGATGTCACAAACAGTCCCAACTCAGTATGCACCAGCACCCAACTGAAAGATACCATGAGCATCATAATTCATTTTTATATCTGTAGAAGCATTTTGCATTAAGAATTACAGAAATAACAGTGGTTTTTAACATATGTATTAGTTACTAGGTGAAGAGAGATTTCAAGACATTGAAAAAATTAAAACAATTGGCAGCACATACATGGCCGTGTCAGGATTATCACCCGAAAAACAGGTAAGAGAATATTCTTCTTTAAGAAGCAAAGCTTTTGGTGTATCCCACCATTCATATTAGAGAATATTAGTGTTATCTTTCTGATGTTCATAGAGCTGTATTTGCTAAAAGAAAATAGACATTTGGGGCTCCTGGCAGACAACAGTTGCACTTCTTGATGAATTGAAATGCCATCTTTTGCTCGCAACAAGAACCATATGGATTCTTTCCTCAAATTTAGGTTTATAAGAAAGAAAAAAAAAGATCCTTTCAATCACACTAATGTGAATCTAGATCAAGTCTATCTATATTTTCGGACATAAGCTAAAGTTACCACTGTAACTTAGACCAGAATCTGGTTGTCAGCCTCCAATAAACTATGAAGAGACAGGATCTAATAACTGACAGCATATTTAACACAAGTGTAAGGTTGCATTTAAATATTTTTCTGATGATGTAGCTGTATATCTACAGACAGTGTGATAAACTAGACATCAAAAAGAAAGCAGACAAATCAGTTTAACTGAAGAACATCACAAAGCCCAAAATCTGCACACTGCCCTCATTGCAGAGGTGCAAACCAAGCTGGGGGAAAAATCACCCACAGAGGCCACATGCACAGTCACAGCTATAAACCTCAGCTAAGTCCAATGAGAGAAATCCATTCATAATTACACCCAAGAATATGCCTGAAAGTGGGGTCTCCAAAGGAATAAGATGAGGCTCTAAAACACATCCAGTGAGAAGTTGGCTGTTGCTGAAATCTGTCTTGCTTGGAAACTGGTGCCTGTCCCCATGGAAGAACACCAGAAAAAAGGGTGTGCTGCCCCAGATCAACCACAGAGTGGGAATCAGATCTGCCCACATTGATTGCAATTGCCAGAAAAGCAGAAACCAGATTAGTGTGAGCTTTATAAACTAGAAAATTTCCATTGTTTGTTTAGAATACATTATAAAACATGTGGAGTGTAACTAGCTGAGCATCTCCCACCTACAGAGTACCAAGTAATGCTGACAGCTAGAAATCCACAAAACTAGGCATGCATGAGATTTTTTTGTTTGTTCCAACTCAAAATGCTACTGTGCAGAGATAAGCAAAGAAAAACTGAACATCAGGGTGGTAGCTGGTTATAGCTATACAGCTTCTAATCACTTGACTATTGATATGAGTAAAAATTCAAAGGGAGAAAATATGTATTGCACTTCCAAGACCGATTAACTCATCCTTTTCCTTGAACTATAACGGTCTAATGGAATTTTATGTATGTTTTAAATACACTTATCTTCATACATATATGTCTATCACCTTGTCAGCATCTAAGAGGTAAGTGCTGCTGAGGGAGGTTGGCAAGCTGTGAACTGAGTGAGGCTGAGGACAAGGACTGAGCATGGTGTGAACACAACAGGGTGATGCCAGGGAGATGCTTATATTCAGGATTAAACACTGAGGATGATGAAAATGGCAAAGGGCTGGACTGCATGACCCAGGGTAGGCCTTGCAATGCTTCATTCCCATGGACTGGAAATTTATTTGATGAAAGAATTACCTGGCTTCAGAATAGATGAGATTATATCAGATCATTATTGGGCCAAAACCATGGCTGTTCCTTACTCCACTGCCCACTCAGAGAAATAACTAAGGAGTTCCCTGTCCTCCCTTGAGAGTCTCTGCCCCACCATCAGCTCTCAGTTGGTGTTCTGGGAAGACCAAAATGCACTCCTGTTCCCCATCTGTATATTGACTGCCCTATAGGAAAGGGAACCCAGGGGAAGGACCAGGGAGTGACTTGACTGCTCTAAACAGAGGTGATTAATGAATGAGCTACAGAGTAGCCTTTTCTCTCTCACTTAACTGGTCCCAGGTTGTCTGGTTTACCCTGTTGTTCCTCTTACTATTCCATCCGAGAGCACTGGAATTGGTGTTTTTCCTGGGTGGCAGTTTCAGCAAAGGAAAATTATGTCTCATTTCTTTTGCTCTACTTCTTGCTTACGTGGGTCATCCCTGATTCTCACCTTGTCCCTTGCACCTAAGCTAGCTCAGTCCTCTCTATACTTTCTTTCTTAGCCTTAGAAAGATTTCACATGCCTTATTTATTCCCATGACTGCCAGTCAGATTATTGACAAGAAATTACTTTCTTTGGTACTTCATGCTAAACTTCTCTGTATCTAGGTATACAAGTGTTGTAATATCATTGGGAAATATTACCATTAATAATACTCTACTTCTTTTGGATCTAGTATGTTGAGACTGTTCTTACGAATTCAGATACTTGGCACTTGGTAGGGATGGGTGGGAGCTGGTCAAATTGCGAAACCTTTCTAACATACTGGTTTATAACTTACTCCTCAGCAATGTGAAGACAAATGGGGGCATTTGTGTGCTCTGGCCGACTTCTCCATAGCTCTGAATGAAAGCATACAGGAGATCAACAAGCATTCATTTAACAACTTTGAACTCCGTATTGGTAAGCATAGTTTAAACATGAGAATTAAAATGTTGTTTTGTCAGCAAGGATCCAACTCTGTAAGTGCACCCCAGGATCATTGCAAGGACATGTACAATTTAAAAGACTGCAAATACTCTACCCCCCATTTTCAATTTTGCTTCATCCCAAGCAAAGTTAGAAATAAAAACCACTCTGCAGAATATGAGCCCTGATTTGGAGGCTGCATAAGTTCTAACATTTGGTGAAATGTGACTACATAACTAAGCTACTGTCTTTAACAAGTCTAGCCAAAAGGACCTAAGTATAAAACAAAAAGTCAACTGGAGAGCCCAGACCTAACCTCAAGCTTGATACTGACTTACACAGTCTCTAACGAATTTTCCTGCCTTAGATTTTACTTCAGTAAAGGAGTAATAGTAGCTTGGCCTAAACCCTGTGTGTAGTACTTTGGTTTCACACAAAAATTGAATTCCAGTTCTGACCTGACCTGTCCCAGTGGCAGCAGCTCTGAATTGCTGTGAGAGGAACCTATTTTCTTGGATGGAGTACCCTGGATGGCTGGTAGGATGGGACATGAAGAGCTGGCCTCAATATATAGCACATGGCAGGATCAAATCTGGTGGTTTCTCATGCTGACTGGATCACTGGCCAAAACCATAGTTCACCCAGAAGACACATGTCCTTTATAGAAAACCCCACCATAAAAAAGCTGAAGTATATTCATCATTCACTGCATAGAGTCGCAACATCACTGTCTGTGATCTGCACTTCCTAACAGTTTTGAACAGAAAGCTCTCAATTCCCAAGATTTCTCAGGGAATATGCATCCACTCTTAGTAAGTGTGGATCACTTGCAAAGATTTCATAGAGCATGAACAGTACTTGGAAACCATTTCTACCACCAATTTAAAAAAGAAAAAAAATATTCTGTAAGAAAAATCTAAAAAGCTAAGATCTTTTTTTCCCAAAGATGTGCTTCTCACTATCACTAAATGTATTCCTAAATCACTCTGTAGAAAAAAATATAGTCTCTTCTATATTATTGCTTGTCTTGAATTTAAGCAACAAATCTTAACAAGATACACTCTTTCCATAACTTTGTAGAATACTGTAATATTTTCACTTCATGGAACACAAGAATATAATTTCTTTACTATATATCACTAACAAGGTTGCCTTCGACAAGTATAGACCCAGAAAGATCCTTCCAGAGAGATTTTTCCTGTTAATTAAGAGTTGGTTTGCAGGAGCTTTGGCAATAGAGTGCAGAATACAGATGATATGCAAGTACTGTTGTTCTGCTGTGATGAACATCCTGCAAAATAACTCTGTGGATATCACTTTTCATATTTTCTAGCTTTCCTGGCTTTGTTTTCTTACTTTCTTTGTGTATACACTCCTTGTTTAAACTTACAGATAAGTGTATCTGAATGAGACTTCATCTGCTTCATAGGTAAAAATATGGTTTTCAGCCACTCTTGTCTAACTGGTTACCTCTTCTCAATTTTTTTTTTTTTTTATTTTTTTTTTAATAGGGATTAGCCATGGCTCTGTTGTAGCAGGAGTTATCGGTGCTAAGAAACCCCAATATGATATCTGGGGCAAAACAGTTAATTTAGCAAGTCGAATGGACAGCACAGGTGTTAGTGACAGAATACAAGTGCCTGAAGAAACATATCTGATCCTGAAGGACCGAGGATTTGCCTTCGACTATCGAGGAGAGATTTATGTCAAAGGTATCAGTGAACAGGAAGGAAAAATCAAAACATATTTTCTTCTAGGAAGAGTGCAACCAAATCCTTTAATCTTACAACCAAGAAAACTGACTGGACAGTATTCATTAGCAGCTGTTGTATTAGGACTTGTACAGTCTCTTAACAGGCAAAAACAGAAGCAAATCCTTAATGAGAACAATAACTCTGGAATAATAAAAGGACATTACAACCGGAGGACTTTGCTCACTCCTGGTGGATCTGAGGCAGCAGCCCAGGCAGAGGGGGCTGACAAAACTGAATTGCCATAATCAGCATTTTGTTTGTGTTCTTTTTTTTTGTATTTCTTTTATATATAAAAATAAATATACAAATAAAAAGGGTTTAATTTTTTTTAGAAGAAGTGTGATTATTTTCTGGTGTGATATTTCAATGACATTCAAATTCCTATGTTTCAAAAAATGATGCCAAACATCTCTCCCCCCAGCTGTGATTAACCTCTGAATGTCCAGACATAATAACTGTAGGCCACCACTCTGCTGTGCCTATTGCCTGTAGAAAGGAGCAAAAATAAACCTCTGACTGGAGGGTTGTAGAACATAAATTGTGCAGAGATTTAATGGTGGGGAAAGTAGGAAACACTTTCCATACTTTTTGGGGGAAAGCAGAGGCATAAGGAGATTGAGTAGGCTCTTCTCACCTTTAGTTGCCTTCATTTAGAGTTATACGCATCTAAGTTAGTTGCCTGGTCTCCGTAACAGCCAGGGAAAAGCTAGTCAATACAGCTAAAGAATTTTAAGGTGTGCTATCTGCCCAGATGTAAGGATCTGGATGAGAGAAGAGATGAATATTGCCTCAAACCCACTGATTCTATTGATTCCACTGGTTGTGGGCTTTTAAAATAGCCTAAGATGTCCTCCTCACAAGCAGATGACTATATTGTAGACAGATAAATTGCATATTGTTATCCACCTGAACTCTTGCACCCAAGCCAGGAGGTCAAGGCTCTCCTGTAGGCACTACGTCATATCTGTCAGTCCCATGTGGAGGGCTCAAATTCATTATTATATCTTGATCAGGACAAGACACCTATGAATGGATGACAGAATTACACCTTGGACGTGTCTGGAGCCTACAGCTGAATTTATTGTCCAGTCAAGGAGATAATAAAATTTTCTGGAGTCAATATCCAGAGCTTAGCTCTTAACACTATCACTAGTCTGAGTTCTCACCAAAATAAGGGTTGTCTGAGGCTGTAAAATAAGTACATACTGAAGTACAGTAGGAGATAAAGCTCACTGTTAAACACCTGCTCAGTTGTCTCAAAAGGACAAGAGGCCAAGACTGAGAATATCCCAAATTATTTGTGTACCAGCACAGAGACATTCCTCTGGGATGCTACCATGACGTACCTAGGTGTTCCAAGCCCTGCATCAAAATAATAACTTTTTGGGGTTTGGCTAATCAACTTCACCCTAGAAACAGTAAATATGTAGCCCAGGTTTCTATATGCACCAGTACCATGATTCACATTGATCTGTAAAGTGCACAAATGAACGTCTCATCAAGTCTTTATGCCCAAAAGAGTTAGGTTTCTCTCAGTAAACATTACCTATAAAGCAGATCACAGATGGAAGCAACAGAACCTGCAATCACACAGCAATCTCCACATGAGACCTCATACAATCACTACAGTGCAACATACGGATCCTTTGTAAACACAGGCCTTGTTTTTTGCAGGCTGTTTTCCAGTTCTTCTTGAAAACCGTGGTTGCTTGGGAGTATCACTGCTGGATCAGGCAGATTTTTAAAAGATAGCCAATATGGTTAGGAAATCTTGATGCCTACATTTTATGACACATTATTGTTTACTAACAAATGAAGCACCAAAACATGAAAGTGTTTAATTGTAGTGAGACAAAAATAATGTTTTTCATTGTAAAATAGCCTGGTGAATGGGTATGTGGGGGAAAATTTAAACAGCTAAATGCTGTCTTCAGAAATAGAAAATAATAAAAATGACCAAATAAATTTCAGAGAAAGTTGTATCACTGAAAGAAGAGTCTGAGCACAGACAGCAGAGCAGTCTGAAATGTTACACTCAGTGATGATGCTGCCAGTAACTGAGCTCTCATTCCATATTGATTGCTCCTTTGAATTTCCACAAATAACATCTTTTATGCCACACAGGGAGAGCTGAGCCACTCACTCACCCAACCCAGTGCTGATATTGTAGGAGATGAAGACAAAGTAGAGCTGGCATCTGAAACAGTTAAATTAATTTCACATTTACAGTGGTATTTGAGGCACTGAAGAAGGAAGTTTTGGTTGGTTTAAACAGCTCATTGATAGCTGTCCTCTCCCTCACAGCTTATTTCTGTGCTGAATGAGTTCACTTCTCCCAGTTCTCTAAACATTTAATTCTTGCTAATATCCCAGCTGAACTGGTTTTCTAATTCTCACCACTGCTGCCAACCTCTGTAATGACAATTAGCAGTGAGTGGAAGGTGTTAACTAGATAACAGGATTGGAGACTGGAGCTGTGAGGACAACTTCACCGCTCCTTAGCATGGGCCCAAATCTGCTTCTTATCATAGACACAGATGGCTTTCTGTGTTATTCCTCTCAAAATCCCCATTAGCATAACTCTATTCCCAAGTAAAATTGTCTGCTAATGAAGCCTGAGTCTGTGTTGACCAGATAAAGAGTTTGCTAAATGAGCTCATTGCTATGCATAATTCTTTAGTGGGGAATTTCACCTGTGACTACTGCAGGTAAATCCCTGCTTAGGACTATTTGTCTACACTAGATGGCTATTTGTCAACTCAGCAATTACACTGTTTGTCCCCTTTTCAAGTGTGATGACCTTAAAGGTTCAGCAATGTTATTTCTCATTGTAGCATCTGTTTTCAGTGGAGCAGCAGCTATTATTTATACTCTCAGTCTTTTAGTTTTACTTCCTGACTTTATGGTGCCATTAGGGGATTCAGTTTTCCCTCACAACTCTATCTTTGGTGTTTCTTGTTCCTATAGGATAGAATTGCTCATACCAGCAGGACCTATAAAGCCAAAACACCTGGTTAAATATCCTTTGAAACATGCATGTCTGGATTAATACAGGCAAATTGCCTTGATATTGTAACTCCTTGGCCAAACCAGCCAGCCAATATTGAGAGCTTTCCTAGATTTTCCCCATTAAGAGGAGAAAGTCTTGGCAGAAACTGACTATACTCTTTGATATCACCTTATTTGTTTCCACAAACGTGTGCTACTGAAATGAACAACAGCCAGCTGCTTGCTCAGAAATTTGTACCTCCATCCCTCCAACAAGCTCCATGCCATAAGCTCTGCTGACTTAAATGTTTTGTAAACAAACAGGCTGAAATCCACAGCTTTCTGCTCTGAAAAGCAACGTACAATCAATGACATCAATGGCAGTTTATGCCAGCTTTGAAGTATTCATTCTTAATCATTAAAACAGTTGGAATATTGACTATCTGGACAATACTTCTGTACCAAAATCGATACTCTGTAATGCTCCAAGTGCATATTTGCAACAATTACTCCTATATTCTAGTAAATATCATATCTGCAGCAAGAGTACTTGTTTACAGGACACTGAAAAGGTTTTAGTGTTGATTAATTTATGCCATTTACCAATTTTAATAATATCTATCCAGAAAGTCACAGTTAGGTACTGATACCTGTCAAGGTATCTACTCTTATCTCACATTAAGACTCAAGACAGAAGAGTTTACCTCGACTGAGAACACTGTGATAGGTGTGATATCACTTAGAAGTGTGTGCTGAGAAAAAAAGCAATTAAAAAAAAATAGATCTTGCACCCAAGGGAAAAATGCCACTCACTGTCCTCAGTTTTAGTTCATTTCTGATTACTTCACAGTCATTTGCACATTTTGAAAAGCACAGCAAAAAAACCCAAATCTCTTCTAATCCTTTTCTCATTGGCAGAACTTCAGCTGCCTTTCCTAAGTGCAAAGTGAGTCAAGGAGTTTATACAAATACACAGCACAGCAAAGGTGGCTCATAGCCAAATGTCCTGTAGCTGCATGCTCTCAAGGTGCAACACGGGGAGCAGAGAGCCTGGCTCCAGAGCTGACTTGACGATCACACAGTGAAATGACCAGAGAAGCAGGAAATAACCACATTAACCATCGCCAGTAGTTCATGGCAAGTGTTATAATTGCACAGTCAACTTATTAACCTCCTCATCAATCTCTTTCTGTTGCTCAATGGCAGTGGCATGATTAAGCCTTTGTGGTTTCCCCAACTCTGTGTTTTGCTGGAGAAGGGGAAAAATATGACAGTCGAGCAGTTGGTACATGGGAGGGAAGGGGTAAAAATTCAATATGTATAACTCTAGGCACTTCAAACTTACTGCAGTTCAGTTAGTATTTAAGGAATCCTCTCATTAACTCTCCTGGTAGAATAAAATATTTCCTTGGTTTATGTAACTTTAGTAGATAAGGCTCAATGTTTTTTTAAAAAAATCTTTTTTTCTGTCCATTTTTCACTAAGATCTTTTTTAGGTGATGACTGTCAGACTTGCAGAGCCATTCAGAGACTGATTTATTCATCTCTTTTGTGTGAAAATGACAGCAATGTGTAGGGCTGGCTATGCAGCATCTCCTATAAAATGCCACTCATGTGCTTTCTGACCCAGAACTCTCTCAGCCTAAGGTGTTTTTTTCTTTCTGGCTGATAAATGTATTAATATTGATATAATGAACATACCTATGCTTTATAGCCCACGTACCTTTTGAGGGTTTTGAAATCAGTGGCTCCTTCAACCTTGCAAAATTTAAAAACAAAAAAGTACCACTGTTGCCACATGGAGAAAAAGAGATATCTCAGGTGGTTTGCTGAAAATCTAAGGTTCTAAAACAAATGGCATATGTGTGAAATTGTTTTTCATTGCAAAACCCACTCCCAGCAGCAGTAGCATGGGATACACTAAAGGATATTTTCACAGCAACAGGATAATAAGTATCATTTTAATTAACTCATTGGTTACATAAAATAATAAAAATACAACAACCTCTTCCTACTCATCTTTCCTCACAGAGGCTATTGTGACAGGCTGTCAGTTTTCCAAGTTTCTATAAATCACCAAGTAATTTTGCTTCAGATGAGTGATTACATCCTTTGGATGTGCCCAGAACAATGCTCTAAAGCTCTGTCCAGGAGTCAGGAGTCACATCCCCGTCCCTGGGGTCAGCGCACTTGGTATGAGTAAGACCAAGAGTTGCAGGGGCACCAGCCCTTCCCCTGTGGTCCTGTTCCTGAGAAAGGCAAGACCAGGGCAGGCTGGGAGCTGTAGCCTAACACTTTTCCCATCTGAACGAGGTTGGGAAGAAGACCCCAGCAGGACTCATC